AACTAAATGACTGATATTTTTTTAAGGTAAAAATTTGTGTATGATCGTCTCACAAATTTTTATCCGTGAGACGAGTCGAATCAAGATAAAATGTAATATTTATACTAGCAAATGTAATAATACTAAATCAGAAATAAAATGTTTATTACTTATATGAGAAAATGTAATACATTTACATTTTGATCTAAAAGTATTACATTTTTCATCAAAAGTGATGGGGTGTGGACTCCGGCCCAAAAAGATTGAAAGAGCGAGGAAGCCCAAAGAAGAAAGGGGTAAGGAGTATAAGGAGAAACCCGAGAAAGAGAGTGGAGGCCCAAAAGAGATCTGGACCGAGTCGTGGAGTCGGCCCGACTCCGGGTCGGCCGAACAAAGAGCCGTTGGAGGCATTTAAGAAAGCATTAAGAGCCCCGTCAAAGAACCGTTGGGAGGCCCAGTAACGACAGCCCAACGGCCCTTAAAAGTAACTAGTCATCAATCGGCCATTAAAGGCCCTAAATTATTTTAAAGTCCAAATTAAATGAGAGTCTGCTATATAAAGGCCCCTCCCAGGTTGTAAAAAGTACCGAGTCCAGGCTAAAAGAATAGCGAAATACGTCTTCCTGAGCTATTCATTTCTTCTTATCTTTGAAAGGTGAATCCACCAACTAAGGTTGTGTTGGACCTCCCTGAGCCTAAAAACCCTAAAACCAACAAAAAGTATTACATTTTTCATTAAAAGTGTAATATTACTTATAAATATAATACTTTTGATTAAAAAAATAATACTTTTACATCAAAATATAAAAGTATTACATTTGCCCTCAAAAGTATTATGTTTTTCCTTATAAGTAGCAAACATTTTTTTTCTTATTTAGTATTACATTTGCTAGTATAAGTATTACATTTACATATTAATCTGACATGTCTCAAAAATAAGGATCCGTGAGACAGTCTCACACAAATGTGACCCCTTTTTTGGTTGTCTTCTCCTTCCCTGGAGAAGCCGCCGGTGACCAAAAGAAAAAAAAATGTGTTTCTCAAGTGGGATTTGCGTTTCTCGAGAAATTCAAGTCCCACATGCGTTTCATGTGTTGATCAGAAATGTGATAAAAGGCATTTCCCAAACGTGTTTTCATAGGGTGTGTTTGGTTGGTGGGTTTTGCCCATAGGAATGGGTATGAAAGTGATTGTTGTTGTTTGGTTGATAGGTTTTTAGAACACTACTATGGGTTTCGAATACCCCATCAATTGAAAAACCCATACCCAAATACAATAAAGGTTTCATTCCCTTATTTATTTTCAAGCACTACTATTAGTAACTATTCCCATTCCACCCTACTACCAAACATGTTAAATACTTTCACCAAAACTCATTACCATTACCAAGTCTTTGATACTCATTCCGATTCCGATTGCTATGTGCGAACCAAACACACACATAATTTCGTCTAATTTTCAGTAGTATCATATTTTGAGAATTGCATGATGCTAGCGTCACATTTCAGTCTATTCTTCGCAAAAAAGCTATGGATGTAGATGTTCTAACTTCATCAAGTGTTGCCCCAAATTGTGCCATCTCATGGAGTTTAATCATGGCGGCCGGGTGTAGAAACTTTCGCTCTCTACATAATTTTTCTTTGTATAAATTTTACATACGTGCATTTAAAAATATTTTTAGGGTGTGTTTGGTTGGTGGGTTTTGCCCATAGGAATGGGTATGAAAGTGATTGTTGTTGTTTGGTTGATAGATTTTTAGAACACTACTATGGGTTTCGAATACCCCATCAATTGGAAAACCCATACCCAAATACAATAAGGGTTTAATTCCTTTATTCATTCTCAAGCACTACTATTAGTAACCATTCACATTCCACCCTACTACCAAACATTTTAAATACTTTCACCAAAACCCATTACCATTACCAAGTATTTGATACCCATTCCGATTCCGATTCCTATGTGCGAACCAAACACACCCTTAATATTTTAAACTTTTTTTGAAAGCCACCAATGAAGGTGATTATATTATAGATAGGCTGAAATAAAATCTGGTGGGACGGCGTTCCAGTACATCGTATGAGTCTGAGTAAAAGCATGTGTTGCCAAAGAGTGCGCGATAAGATTATCTAATCTAGGAATGTAAATAACAGAACATAAATTAAAAGATGACAAAATAATCCTGCATCCATCGATAATATAGCCAATATATGTTCGCATCCGTGTGGCTTGTGTTGTCAAGTGGTGTTGTAGAATACGGCAATCCGTATGTAGTTGTACCGTTAGCAAACCCTTCTCCTTCAGCCATGACAGAGCTTCTTTACACGCCAACGCTTCTGCCATCAACGGGGATAGACAATAAGGTAGTCTCATATTGAAACATGCAATAAACTCCCCTTCGTTTGAGACTAGAGCTGCTCCTGCCGTTGCCGCGTCGTCCGATGCATGAAAGCCTGCGTCGATGTACAGCTTTGGCAGCCCATCTCCGGCCGAGAGAGCAGATGGTGCATGAGGCACCGTGGGGTGCGGTCTGTGTACTGTGCTCCACGACTGCCACGCCGCATTTGCCGCACTCACCATTCTTTTGGGTAATGGTAGAGTATGATCCCACACCGCTTGGTTCCTCGCCCGCCATATATAATAGAGAATCGCTGCTACCATAGTAAATTGATCATTGGTAAGTTCCTTCATAATTTCAAGAAACCAAGTCTCAAAAGAATCAGCCATAATATGCATAATAGGCAATGTAGATTCCCGCCATACTGCTTGTGAAAATTCACAAGACACTAAAGCATGCATTGTACATTCGGGGTAATTCGTGCACATTACACATGTTGGGTCAACTTGTACTCTCTTCATGATAAGATTAATTGTGGTGGGGAGAACACCACTCAAAGCTTTCCACAGAAATAATTTCCATTTAGGAGGTACTTTCAATTTCCACATACGCAGCCAGGCATTAAAATCCCCGTTCGTGTGTTCATAATTTCCAACAACAAGTCTGTATCCCCTTTTACTGTATAGTTTCCATTGGGGTCCCCCTGCCAATACCAGATATCTGGATAATCCGGGCACACTGGTATTCTGCTAATTCGTTCCACATCATCCTCCATAAATAAGTCCCTGAGTATATGTGGATCCCAGGTTCTAGTATCTTGATCAATCAAACCCACTACTTTTGAACCTGCTAATTCTTGGGGCATATCAGTTTGAACCATAGGATCTAGGCTATCAGGTAGCCATGGGTGTCCCCATATTAAAGTATCCTTACCATCCCCTATCCTCCTCCTTATCCCACCACAAACCAAGCTATGAGCTGCAAAAATACTCCGCCAGCAAAAGCTAGGATTATTCCCCAAAACTGCCTCATCAAATGATGTCCTCGGGTAGTATCTTGCCTTATACACTCTTGCTACCAATGACTCAGGTTTAACCAGAAATCTCCATCCATGTTTACCCAACATTGCTAAATTAAAAACTCGTAGGTCTTTGAAACCCAGACCTCCATATTTCTTCGGGACACACAACTTGTCCCAAGCTTTCCAATGAATACGGCGGTCCCCCCAGATCCCCACCAATACTTATTCATTGCTCTTTGAATTTCTTGGCATACTGCTTCAGGTAGCAAGAAAACACTCATAGAAAAGGTAGGCATTGATTGTGCTACACTTTTCAAAAGTACCTCCTTTCCAGCCTGGGATAACAGCCTTTTATTCCATGTGCCTATTCTCTGTTTTATTTTGTCCTCAATATATGAGAACACCGCCCTCTTCCTCCGCCCAATAAACGAAGGCAGGCCCAAATACTTGCCAAAATCTGTTGCTTTCGGAACACCCAAAAGCTGCGCCACTTGATCCCTGCAATCCTCCGTTGTATTTTTACTAAAACACACACTGGATTTATGGTAGTTTACTGCCTGTCCAGACAAGGCCTCATATTCAATCAAACATCTCTTTACCTCCTCGGCTTCCGCAACATTTGCTTTAAAGAAAAGCAAGCTGTCATCTGCAAAGAACAAATGAGATATTGGCGGTGCTCCCCTGGCTACTCTGCATCCATGTATTTTCCCACACTGTTGTGCCTGTTGCAAAAGCATAGATAATCCTTCTGCACATATTATAAATAAATACGGAGACAGAGGATCTCCCTGTCTCAAACCTCTTGTGGGTATCACCTGTCCCACTGAGAAACCATTTATCAAAAATTCATATGAAACCGTAGTGACACAATACATTATCAACTAAATCCATTTGCCACTAAATCCCAGGGCTGTTAACATCTGTTTCAAAAAAGTCCACTCCATCCGATCATACGCCTTAGCCATATCTAGCTTCAAGGCTCCCCACCCTGCCACACCACACTGCTTCCTATTCAGATAGTGGTCTACCTCTGCAGCTATCAGTATATTGTCCGTTATTAGCCTATCCGGTATGAAGGCACTTTGGGACTCAGAAATTAACCCCTCCATCAATGGCTTCATTCTATTTGCTATCACTTTCGCCATTACCCTGTACACCACATTACTCAACGCAATTGGTCGTAGATCAGTCACATATTCAGGCAAGCTTTTCTTTGGGATTAGTACTGCATTCGTACTATTAACCTCCTTGGGGAATGATCCATTATTCAAGCAATTAATAATAAAGGTAGAAACATCACCCCCCCACCACATCCCAGAACTTTTGGTAGAAACCCGGATTCATTCCATCCGGTCCCGGGGATTTATCAGGGAACATATCAAATAACGCATTCTTTACCTCCTCACCAGTAAAGGGGGAATCCAGTGTCTCATTCTGTGCCTGTGTCACTCTGGGTTGTATCATATCAAATAAATTACTAGCTACATCCGTAGAGTTTCCGGAACTGAAAACCTCATGGAAATAGCTCATAACAGTCTGATTCATTGCATTTCCCTCCACCCACATCCCATCAGCAGTTTTAATTCTATTCAAAGCATTTTTCTTTCTACGGTCAGAAGCATACCTGTGAAAGAATTTGGTGTTCGCATCCGCCCCTTGTAGTCAATGTTGCTTTGCCCTCTGCTTCCAGAATGCATCATCCATTGCCTCCAATTTACACAACTCAGCCTCTAGATGACGAAACTCAACCAATGAAGCTAAATCCCGCCTTCCCCTCAGCCGGTCCTGCTGTTTGAGCAACCGTTTAATTTGGGCCCCGAACTTATGAAAACGGTCTTCCCCCCAGGCAGTTAACCTCCTCCCACACAGCTGGAGACAATCCTGCAAACCCATTACTCTCCCCTCTCCCCATTCCCTCTCCACCACCTCCCTACACCCCTCATCATGTAGCCAAGCCATTTCAAACATGAAACTGTTTGCCCTATGCCCCACTCCCCTTATATCATCCCGGATTCCCAGATACAGAGCCGAATGATCAGACCTGCGCGTCAGCATGTTTAATACACTGGCCTGTACATTCAAACTCCTCCATGACTCAGTTACTAGCACCTTATCTAACCTCTCCTCCAACCAGTACTCTGTCCCCTCTCTCTTCTTCCACGTATACGGATATCCTTGCATGGGCATCTGTGCCAGTTGGCAATCATCTATGGTTTCCCCAAATCCGCGTAGGAGACCATTCGGATGTGGATTTACCATAGAGGAAGTATTTTATGCATTAATTTCATAATATGAAGTGGTGGACCAATTTTCATTATATTTATAAATATTTATTGTTGAAGAAGGGATTACATTAGCATATTACATCCAGCGGAGACGAAAGAAGAAGTGGGGAAGAGAACACCGGCCACCCCCCTCTTCCTTCGTCTCCGACGGAGACGAAGGAAGAGGGTGGGGTGGCTGGCGTTTTTTATTTATTTTATTTATTTATTAATTTAAAAATTTTTAAAATAATTTTTAAAATAAAAATTAAATAAATTAGTTGATCACCGATGACTTGCCCGGAAAATTTAACGGCATGACCAAATGTGATACAAATTGAATAGTCATGTACCTAATTTGAAAATGTTAATAGTCAGGGACCAAATGTGATACAAATTGAATAGTCATGCACTTAATTTGAAATTTTAATAGTCAAGGACTAAAGTTGGTACATGTATTATAGTTGATGGATTAAAAATGATATTTTCTCCTCGGAAAATAATAGTGGTTTGGTCTAGGTTAACGAATTGTATTTATTTAGTTCAAAAAACTAATTTGCCCACTGATTTATACTATTAATCCCCCCCCCCCCCCCCCCACCCCCACACATTTATATTTAATCACTAAAATAACCACCTAAGCAGATTAAATAGTGCCATTGAACTCTCTAACTAAAAGAAGAATTGAATAAGCTCCATTGATGTCCCTTAAACTTGCAAAAAGTACAATTAAGCTCTCATTTTTCCTATTTAGTAGTTAACATCTGGTGACAGAAGCTATGGCACTGGATGGAGAATGACATTCTCGATCTCCATCTTGTTGATTCTTTTTTAATTTTTCTTCAAATTTTTAATTTTTTTTAACAAATTATTTAAAAAAAAAAATTATACAAAGTCCATATCAAATATTAAGTCATTACCACATCAAAATTAAAGCATACATGAAAGCTTAGTCATGGCCAAATTAGCAATAACCTACTGAATAGGTAAAATGAGAGTTTTCTGTTTAAGGGCATTGATGAATCCTCTTTTTTAATAGGCTTAATTGCACTATTATATTTAATTGACTTAGGAGCTTATTTAAAACATTTTTCAAAATTAAATATATTACCAAACACCTTCATATAAACTCACTAGTCAATTAAAACGATTGGCATATATAATCCACTATCTATTAATTGTTAAACACTCCGATCCCATTAGTCTAAATTTAAACGGTTGATTAAAAATAAAACAAATAAAGAGTTAATTTTAAAATAGAGTAGTTGGGATTATAGGAGATAAAATGAAAAGATGGAAGAATAGCAAACATGCATTATTAGAAGAGAAGATAAGAGAAGAGAATAGAATATGCGTTTTGATGATGGGATGGAGTAGTGGAAAAAGACAGAATCCCAACCTTAATTACCTTAGCTTTACAAACTAACCATTAATCCTTGTTATGCTAAAGCTACGGCACCTAAACTTGATTAAGATTGTCTATATCTTTTCTGTACTGTAAATCACAACACTAATTACCCCTCCCACCTTCCTGCATGCATGCCTTTTCTCCTTTCTTTCTTTCTTTCATTAGCTTTCATCACCTCGTGCTTCTTGTCCTTCTTCCTTTAATTTTCTACTTTACACTTTTTTCTTTTTTCATTACATGCAAAAAAAAAAAATTATTTCCTCTAACTTTTTTAAGTCTTAATTTGAATGGAAATATATGATGGTTACAATGGTACTAATTAAGTGTTATTTGATGCATGTGTCTTTTAATTAAATTTTGATACAGTATTGTATTAAACAGGTATCACTTTGAGTAAGTATGAAAAGATAATAATAAAGGGATTGGAAAGAATGAGAGGGATAAATGGAATGTGACAAATTGGGGAAGACTTAATATAGTGACCTAATAAAGAGATGATAGAGAGATAAAATATAAAAAAGAGTAAGAAAGATTATTGTATTATTTATTTGATGATATTTTTTCTAATGTATATAATATTATATCCAAATGTCTAACAGATTATAATGTTTCGCTAATTAAGTGTTATTCGGTGTCTCTTTGATACCATATTGTATTAAATAAGTACCACTTCAACTTTTTGAGCAGGTACTAATTCTAGGAAGATAATAAAGGGAAACAATGAGAGGGAGAGATAGAAAGTGAGAGAGAAAAAATATTGGGAGACTAAATAGAGTGAATATTGAGAGAGAATAAAATAAAGAGATAGATAGATCCACTGTAGAAAAGAGTAAGAAAAAACTATTGTATTATTTCTTTAATGATCTTTGTTTATTGTATATAATATTATATCTAAATGTCTAACTAATTATAATGTTTTACTCATTCTAATAATACAATAATAGTCACTATTAATTTATTACAATGTTTCTCTAGTCCTAATAATACAATAATTCATTATTGATTCCCAAGTATATATCACTCTTTGTGGAAAATAAATAAATAAAAGAAAAATAACACATTTAGATTACATCTACTTCAATTCTATGTTTTCCTTTCTTCTTGTTCTTTTTTTTTTTTTTTAAGTTTTTCATTTCCCATTCATTATTCTTGTTTTATATGTTTTCAAATGTATAAGTTAATGTAATTATATATTTTACTTTATCTAGTTTTTCATTCTTTTTTTTTTTTTATGAAATGAAGAATTTCTCTACTAATAAATGGACCCTTAGTCCTTCAATTGTGCTCATAGTATGACTATGTTATTAACTTATTTGATGTGTAGATTTATTTTTAAAATTCTTAATAAAATGTCGGATTTGATCCTTATGGTTTTACAAACATTAAAATCTTTGATAAGAACGTACTTAAAAGGACTAAATTTACATTGCAAACAATTGAAAAATTAACTTTGTACTATAGACACGACTAAAAGATTAAAAATGATATTTTTAAAAGAAATTATCAATTATGTCCACCCTCTTATAACAATCACCCCCATCAATTCTATAAATAAATAATTAAAAATGATATGAGTTTGCCAAGACCTTGTGGTCTAATGGTACCCGAGTTGGATTCCCATAGGTTGTGAGCTCGAGCCTCAGTAGAGGCGTTATTGACTCTTTGAAGTAGTTATGAACAGATGCTTCAGTAGGTTGAGCAAGACCATATTTGATGCATCCCGCATTAGATAGAAATTTAGGTAGTTGATAGTATTAGTTGTAGAAAAATATTTGGTAAATTAATTGTTAACTGATTACATATAAAATGATTTTCTCAAAAAGTTGATCGAAAAAGCTACTTTGAGCAATTTTTTGAATTTTAGCATTTTGGAGCAATAAGTTGTTACAAAAAACTAATTAATCAAACACTCATATTGATTGTTTAACCAAGTCAAATAGTTAATAGTGGTCAAATAAGTCAAAATTGACTGATAGGCTAACTATTTTACCAAACAGGGCCAATGTTTGGTTCAAATTTTTACTCATATATATAAGCTAATAATGATGGTGTAGTTAGGGTCTAAGTTTGTATCATTTTTGTATTAGAGTCACATCAGTGAGTTGAGTGTATGTTAGTCTAACTTGCTCCACCACGTAGATCAATGGTTGAGATAGCACTTGAGATATGCACAAATATGTGTACAATCTTAAGGGGAGGGGATGATGCGTTTTGGGACAAATTTTAAAGTTTCAGTCAAATTTATACTCATGAATTAGTTTATGTGGTATAGTTAGAGTCTTGGTTCGTATCAATATTTAATTTATTAACTTTTTTAAAATTAAATTACACCCTTTAAAATTGATGGTTTTTTTAACTAGGTCCACCATGAAATTGGACAGTTAGGGGCAAATTAAAACTAGCAACTGACATAATCAATTAACGGGTATGATGTTTAGCCGTGAGTACCCTTTTAGTCCGAAGAAAATAATATTAAAAATTGGACAAGAATCCAAGTATAATGAGAGCTATTATAACTCTTAGACTACTCGTACCAAAAAAAGAAAAAAAAAAAAAAAAAAAAAAAAAAAAAAAAAAAAAAAAAAAAGAACAACTCTTAGACTACTTAGTCAAACTGCATGAAATGGAAATAAAACACTTGAAGTCTGATGTCTATTGTAAATATAATGTTTTTAAAGAACCAAGGACCTCTTATTTATAAGGGTAGGAAGGACAAAATCTTCAATAGATAAGTGATTTTCATGTATTGTGTGTAACTCATCATACACGTGTGTCACGTTGTTGAAGGAGCTAGAGATATATAGGAGATAGCTTGTCTAGCCGCCTCTCATTCCACCCCCTCCCCCCGCCCATCAGGTTGTTGAAGGAGCTAGCTAGAAATATATAGGAGATAGCTTGTTTAGCCGCCTGTCATCCTCCCCCCTCTCCCCCCGGCCCACCACCACCAGATAGCCAAATACCTTCATCACCTACCTTGCGAGGTAATATTGTACGGTCCGCGACCCTTCATCACTGCCGAACTGAGTGCAACAAGCTACCTCATTACCACATCCTCGCTTTTGCACCTTCAACCCTGTATTTAATACCTTAGCTTCCCGCTCCATTAATGTTGAATTCCTTATTTCCTTACGCTTTTGCTCCAAACTTTTCTTTATCTAATCCAATTCTACCCTCCATTAGCCCCCAGAAATATTTCTTTGGCCTCCTAGGTCTGGCCACCAAACCCCATAAAAAAAATACAAGATATAAACAATATAATTTAAATGAAAAATAATAAAACGTGAATCTTAATGGTATATATTCACTATCTCATAGATATTTTAATTTTCCCTACTTAATGTATATTATCACAAGCTGCACAATACAAGAACTAGCAATAATTTTTATTTTTATTATTTTTTTTTTTAAAAAAAAAGTTAAAGCACAACACCTTTTTCCATGAATTAAGATATTTCATACTTAGGATATTATCCCAAGCCAAGATTTTTTATAAATAAATAATCGCTAAAAGTGCTTTTCTTCTCTTGTATTTGATGCTTTCCTGGGAAAAGTATTATTCTCTCCAAAAAAAAAAAAAAATAAATAAAGGTATTTGCACGTTTTATTTCGTAAAAATATTATTTGTATAAAATTTAATACTATATAATATGCCTCATATTAAATATCATATTTGTTAACTATTTATAAATTAATCAAATACATTACTAATTACACAAATTAAATTATATAAAATTTGATACAAATAATATTTTTGTTATTTTGTATCGTAATACGCAGACTTGCTAGGAGGAACGTACATAAGGAAGTGTAAGAATTATCAGAAAAAAGATTGTGTCTCATTTTATTATAACCATCGGATCTATCATGCATGCATGCGTGGAACCAATTAATTAGAAATATTATTACTTGAAAGAAAAATAATTAACAACTTTATGTATTGTGTGTATACGTGTATTTATATTTTTTTCTCCTTTTCTTTTTTACAATAAAAAAAATTATTCAGTTCTCAACATGAAAATATAAAGAAAATCTAAAATAAAATAAGGTAATTAAAATTTACATAAGATGCCACATACATGTTATTCTAGTTAGCACCTTACTCTACATTTACAAATTAAATAGCTAGGGGTGTTTCTGCGTGTATATTATTACTTTAAAAAAGAAAAAAAAAAACTTGAATATTGATAATAAATATTGACAAAAATAAGAGTTAATGACCGTTTTGGTTCATCTTACGGCTCAAATTGACTATCATCCTATAGCTCAAATTAACAAGAGGACGAATAAAATTAGGTAAGATTTTTAAAGTTGATGACTTAATTTGATAAGGTTGATAGTCGACCAAATTGATCATTATATTAACTCTATTTATAATTAAACTAAATGTGTACATATATTTTTAGAATATGATATTTTTTTAAAGTTATTTTCAATGCAAATATTTATTTTTTTTGAAACTTTTTAAGTATTGCGCTTATATCAGTGTTCTTTTTGTATCCCGCATAACCAAGCAAATTATTGAAGTAGTTATATTGAATAGAGTTCTAGACTCTCTGCTCTCTAAATTTTACTTCCTGATAATGTGGTTGTATTGATTGACTAATTTTTCATGTGGGTCCCGCAAATGTCTACATCTTGTTTGAGAGTAAAAGTTGAAAGTAGAAAATGGGAGTACATTAGTATTTTCCTATTGAATATTGTTAACAACTATTCTTATAATATGCAATGCAACTATAAGCATAACATAATGTAATTGTATTAATACAAAAAGTTAAAGCAACACAACCAAGTTGATCAAATTGGTGACTTAGTAATTACAAAGAATTCTATTTTGACCGAGTGACCTATTTGTCTTAGTTAATTTACCTCTTTGTCGCTAAGGGTCATGAAACGAGATTCGCTCAGTATATACTTTCAAATAATGATTATAATGTTTTTTTTCTTTGCCACCCAACCAAAAAAAAAAAAAAAAAAAAAAATTAATTTATAGTGGCGATATGAAGGAATGATGAGTTGAGAAATTGATGGGGGGATAGGAGAAAGGAGGAGCAGCTTGTGGGAGAAGACTTCAACACTGTTGAGGGCAGTGCTTGGCGCACTAGCAGACATGTGGGTCCCATCACTATCACTACCTCCCCTGCCTCATTCTCTTCTTTTCTTGCTCCCATTCCGCCATACCCACTCACCACTATACATTCTCCTCTCCTCTTCATCTCACACCTTTACTTTTCTTCTCTTATTATTCATCAACACCTCACACTTCAAACTTATCTTCCTTATTAGCTTTCATGGAACCAAATCTTGGCTTACTGGGTGGTGGCGGCGGCGGCGGTGGCGGTGGCGCTGGGGAGGCTGAGCTTGAGTTGGGCTTGGGCCTCAGCCTTGGGAGTGGTCCCTGTGGGTTGGCTAAGCCCATGAAATCATCAGACTGCACCAGGGGGGGAGAATATGGAAGAATCTTGACTGCCAAAGATTTCCCTAATGGCTTCCCTACTGGGACTCCAAGAACTAATGGTGCTGTTTCTGGTACCAAAAGAGCTGCTGATTCTGAGGCTGGGTCACCCCCCACTGGTGTAAGGTAAAAATATGATCTTTTCTTCAAATTCATGGTTATATTTGAACCATATGTGAATTTCCAACATGTATCTTTTCTTTCAAGAATTGGGTATTGGTTTTCTTGATATTTTATCTACATGTTACATGGTTCTTGATCCTATTATCCTATATTGTTCATTCAGTACTTTGATTCTTGTGTTTCAATTTATGTTTTTGATGAGACATCCTTTAAGGAGTGCATGGAGTTTTCTTATAGTTTTTGTTTTTATTTGCTGAAAGCTGCTTTTAGCTGCCATGGCATGATGATGAGCTATTATTATGCCTCTTAAACAGTTCTGCTTTTATTATGCAAAATTTATAAAACTATGCAATAAATTTCTTTTGTTTTCCTGCATAATTTCATGTCTTTTTTCTTTGTAATGATTCACTTGCCACCCTTTTCCATCTGAATCTGCCTCACCAGATCAGGGCCTTGAGAAGCTTCAACCTTTCTCACTCTGTAATGATTCCTTTCGCCCTTTTATCAATTCTTGAATCATTGTTTGGGGTTTGAGGAATCAATTCATGGATTGGTGTTCAATATTCATTATTATTTACATCCTAAGTTGATTGTTTCATATTCAACTAGAAAAATAAAAACTATTTTCTTGTGATTGAGATTGCGGCATCAAAGTAATAATTCTGTGAGGTTCTTGAATCCCATTAGGAGCAACTCTGAGTGGGGTATTTTAGTCCCTTTATACAGAAGTTATTTAGTTATTGATGTTTTACAGATTGTAATTGTATTGAGCAAAAAAAAAAAAAAATTGATAAAATTTCTAATTTTGGTTTTCTGGGAAACCAGTCAGGTGGTTGGATGGCCACCGATTAGGGCATATAGGATGAATAGCTTGGTAAACCAAGGGAAAACTCTGAATGCTGAAGATGATAAGGGAATGGGCGGGGATGAGAAGAAGGAGAACTCGAAAAAGAAGATGAATCATGGAAATAACAGCGATGATGGATGTGGTGTCAAAGAAAAGGGAAGTCTCGGGTTTGTGAAGGTGAATATGGATGGATTGCCAATCGGGAGAAAGGTGGATCTGAATGCTCACACGTCCTACGAAACGCTGGCCCAAACATTGGAGGAGATGTTCTTCAAGTCGACAACAAAAGCCATGAACTCTATCTGTAAGTTCTTTCGTCTTTTGCCATTAACAGTGTAACCAAGAGAACGAAACACGTGCTTTGTGTTACTAAGGTTTTTTTCCTCTTTGACGCCTTTATGGTACTGATTTCGACTGTTGTGTTGTGGGTTAGGTGCGGAAAAGGAGCAAAGAATGACACCCTCGAAGCTTTTGGATGGATCATCTGACTTTGTGCTAACGTACGAGGATAAAGAAGGCGATTGGATGCTCGTGGGAGATGTTCCGTGGGGGTATGTACTATGTAGCCATTGTTAACACATGAAACATACAAGCACAATTCTAGGAGCCCATGAAAGTTCGATTTGATTTTGCAAAGAAAAATCAACCACGTTTTAGACCCAACCTCCAACAAGAGCTAAATTACAGATCAAATAGTAAAATTAAAGAAAGAACTAAAACAACGTATATGATCAAGATTTAATTTTCAAGAATCTGTTTCTAGCATGTGTTTATAAGCCATTTCCCCGTTTGTGTGTTCTAGGATGTTTCTCTGCACCGTGAAAAGGCTAAGAATCATGAAGACTTCCGAGGCTAATGGACTTGGTAAGTAGCGAGGCACTTCATTACTCTATATACCAAAATTTATTCGCCTTCAATCCGTTCTAACTCAAACTACTGATATGTTCCAGCTCCGAGGGTCCAGGAAAGGCAGGACAGACACACCGGAAAACCAATCTAAAGCTCCGTTCTTCAACAGCGTGCAAAGAAAAAAACACAAGTAGCTAGAGAAGTTAATGCGTTTTGCTCAAGATCGCTCTTTTGTCGCCTTTTGTGGTTTTGTTTTGTTTTTTTTTAATGTTTTGCAACCCATGTTCAAGTTTAATTCCCCTTTACCTTTTCTAAGCCTAGTTGAAAGTAGTGTTTACCCCCCTCCTCATCCTCCCTATATATTTCACCAGAAAATGTTTTGGCAAATGCTACTTTCTCCTAGTGTAAATATGAGTGCTGTGCTTGCTGGCTGCCAGAAATTGGATTTATTTATTTATTTAGGTTTCATCATTCTTTTTCTTTGGTGCTTTGAGATTGTTAAGAGTGTCCTACATTGATAAAATAAGTGAGAGCATAAATATAAGTCTATAGGTTAAACTAGCTAATTGGTTTAATTCAATCTTTTAGTGTGATTTGGCCCATGTATATTATAGCCCAGTTGAGATAAAGACACTTTTAGTGTCTTTTAATCTTTTATGTTTGTGGATTGAATCAGTTGCCAGTATCTATCACTTCTCAAGTGTTTGTCAAAATCATGGTTTGTTCAAACAATGTGTTAATGTTTCATGAAGAACATCAAAACTGCTGGGGCCAAGTAGTCACTGTTAAGGATTATCATAACCTTTTTTAATTTGTTTTTTTGGGGATAATGTCTGTTGAAGGTATAGTTCAGATGAGATGTAAAATTAAAGGCTATTATAATCACACAAGTACAGGTTTTCTTTTCAGGACATCTGATGAAAAGGTGACAAGAAAATGATGCAATAATGTTGATTTTGACAGTGTATATAAATAAAGAGGTTGTTTTAATTGATTAGGGGACAACTGTATTGCAACACAAGTTGAGTGCTTATTGCTCAAGACAAAAGTGCAACAAATCAAGGGAAAGTAAAAGACTGCTGGATGAAACCCTAAAGTCCCATTTAAGATGCAATTATTAATTGAAACAATTTTTATATTTTTTTGTAAAAAGATAGAACAGAACCTTAAACTTTTATTCAAGTGTGTTTCTTAGTGGAAATATTTTGACGGTAGAGACAATCCCGGTCAAGTCGGTTAGTGTTAACTTGGTAACACAAGATTTCAAATTCAACTCCTAGTGGGAGTCGAGTGGGAGTCGCTTATTAGCCTTCTTGGTTTGAGCCGCTAAGATATGAGTAACCTAAGCTGATTTAGCTCATTGTGGTCCTTTGCCAGCTAGGGTCACAAGATGGAGTTTACACCGTGCATTCAACTCACAATAAGAGCAGCCTATTGATCTTTTTGGTTTGAATCAGTTAACTATAGACAATTTAGGCTGATTTACTTCCTTGTGATCCTTTGCCAATTATGGTCACAATGCAAAATTTACCCATTATACACCATATAGTGCAACCCTTCAACTTAAATAGAGAATTAAAATAAACCAAAGTTTTTAAGAGTTTCTGCCCAGTCGTCTAAAGTTTCATGGAGCTTAAGAAACTAGGGTGTGTTTGGTTTGCACATGAGAATCGTAATCAGAATGGGTATCAAATACTTGGTAATGGTAATGAGTTTTGGTGAAAGTAAGAAAAATGTTGATTCCACTAACAAGATTAGAGGCATGACAATGAGATTAACAAAGATCACATTCGACTTATTATTCCAAGTTTCCAACTGGTAACAGTCTTAACAGCACTTATTTTATATGGTGGGAAAAGATCATACTTGTGATCATGTTTACATAGTTTAACAATACTCATCCTGTGTCTAGAAACACATTTTTCTTACCTCACTTCAGAAAGAGAACGCAATACAAAACATATCGAGTTCTGATCAAAATCTAATCATCCATGCAAGTTTATTGAGAACCTTACTGCAAAAAGTCTCGGGGATCAGTGACGAAACCAGTCAGCGCCGATGCTGCAGCTGTGTATGGAGATGCGAGATAAACTTGGCCTTCCTTGTGGCCCATTCGGCCAGGGAAGTTTCTGTTCGTGGTTGAGACGCATACCTGCAATTCAGTCCCTCGGAAATGTTAAGCAATGCCTATGTGCTAATGTACCGCAACAATAAGATTCAAATCGAGAATTTTTATTTTTTTTTCACACGTCTAATAATCTCGAGTGTAAATAGAATGGACATTTATTGGAGAGAACATATATAGAGGACACGAAACAAACTATCGTGACCTTAAGGTCTATACCAAACCACCTTCCGCTTATGCATAATAGGGAAAAGTGGAAACCATTTAAGAATGAGTTAATACCTAATTTAGTCCTCGACTATAGTGGTTTTTCTTGATTTAGTTATGAATGACTTTTTGTGCTTAATTGGGCCCTCTGGACTTCGATGGTTTTACTTAATTGAGTCCTCTGTTAGGATAGAGGGGTAAATTCCCCTCAATCAATACCCAATTTAGTTCTTGACTATAGTAATTTTACTCAATTTAGTCATCGACTATAGTTGTTTTACCTAATTTAGTCCTCGACTATAGTGGTTTTTCTCGATTTAGTCCTTGATGCTAACAGCCAACAAAGGCAAAGGACTCAATTAGGTAAAACCATGGAAGTGCAGAACCCAATTAAGCACAAAAAGTAATTCATGACTAAATCGAGAAAAACCACTATAGTCAAGGACTAAATTGCTCATTTAAGATTTTAGGGACTACCGACATTTGAACAATATATAAACATCACTTGAAGTTTTTAGGGTATACCAAAATTTGAACACAAATTTTCAATTAGATTTTATTTCACATGCAATGTTTTATTTTATTTTATTTTTGTTGTGCAAGCCTATATAACTAGTTATCATAGGATAAATTCAATTGGAAATAATCCTCATTTCATCCATAAAAAAAAAAAAAAAAAAAATTATTTTGTGCGTGCCAAGATATTGTAAGTTGTAATTAAGAGAACTCAACAATGGATAGAAGTATATAACTCACCAGCGGTTCATTCATGCGTGCATAAGTGTCTCGAGGGCCACCCAAACAAGCCCCACAACTAGGACTTGCAGGCGTATCACAACCCGCTTCCTCGAAAATCTGGGAACAAGTTTTCCCGCCAGATCCCGGAACTGGGAGGCTATATACGTCCATCCAGACCTGAATTACGTTATGCACAGAACTACGATCAATCCGTGTACTTTGACAACAATGAATCGCAGAGCATTGGAAACCACAAAAAAGACCAAACATTACAATGAAGACCACAAACCTTTTGAGTAGCAGGAACAAGGAACGTTGGAACTTTTACCTTTTTACCCCCCTGCATATTACAGACAGTTTTTAGTCGGCAGAAAAATCTAATTAAATGAAACATATAAGACCAACTTGGGGTTGTTCCGGATCCTTAGACGTCGCCAAGGTGGATCTGAGTATAAGAAGAAATATAATATTACCGCAGCTAGAAAAACTTTGGCAGCAGCCATGAAGTCCTCGGTTTTCCCACCAGTACACGATCCAATATAAACTCTGTCGATTTTGACATCTTTGCATTCTCTTGCTAATGCACGATTATCAGGGGAATGAGGCTACAGATTTATCCAAAACGAAAAAAAAAAATAAAAAAAATAAATGTTTGGAGCATTCAGTAAGTACTTGACAAAACAGAAGCTCAAAAATTGAACAAAGTAATTAGCCACAAATTAGCTATAGAGATACTAAAGCAAGAAGAAAGACGCACAAAAAAAAACACGTAAAGAGATAAATTCTATTGATCTCTAATCTCTTCCACTGTTGTAAAAATCGGCCTAGACGGCCGCCTAGGCGCTAGGCACCCCTAGACCATGGCGAATTCCCCCTAGGTGCCCGGCCGCCTAACTCGGCCGACTTGGCCGCCTAGGCGCCTAACTCGGCCGAGTTAACTCGTCCAATTCGACCAAATTAGCCGAGTTTCGGCCTTGCTAATTTATTTATTTATATATATATATATATATATATATATATATATATGTATATGACATACACCCACAGACGTGCACTTTTTTTTTTAGTTAGCTCGGCGTCTAGGCGCTAGGCGCTACTCTACTGCCCGACTAGCGCCTACTGCAACCATGATCTCTTCAGCAACAAAAGTACAATATACTCATGCTGAATTGAAACCCAAATAACTAACGGAAAAGAGGAGAAATTTGAAAATTAAATACATCAAAGCATCGCTCTGGTTAATGATTTACTCGGTGCGTCAAATGAACAAAACCCTCACTCACCTTCGCCACTAAGGGCTCCAACTTTGATACATCGATTCTGTACTCCGAAAGAAATCTGAAATAAAGTAGGATATCATAAATAAAGATTGAATGGCAATGAACCATTAAAAAATTACGGGAATTCTTCAGAATGAGATATATGTTTTCGAAAATACCTGGCTTGTTCATCACTGTAAACAGGTTCATATGGGACAGAAGTCCTTCCCTGTTACACAAAACGATGAAAAGCATTCATTAGCAAGGAGTGGCAAAAGTAGAATTCTTCCTCGACCAACATCACAAAGTAATATTAACTGTAGAAATCCGGCATAACGTGTAGCCCACCAGGAGGGAAGGATTCGGGATGTCCACTAAAATCATAATAAATCGAGCTCACCTCAAGATACTTATAGGTCGTACTATCTGCTGGGATGACACCATTCTTCCCACCAGCTTCAACAACCATGTTGCAAAGAGTCATTCGTTCTTCCATCTTATAAAATTACACGGCAATGAAATCACATAAAGATTCAGTGAAAAGCTAATTAAAACTCAAACAGAGATGTTATACTGTTACTTCCACATAGAAATTAGTAAAACACTAAAACTTACTGTCAAGCTTTCAACGGTTGAACCAACAAACTCCATTGCTTTATATGTTCCACCAGCCACAGAAATCTCGCCAATAATCTGAAATATAGAAATCTCTAGTGAACAACATATGAAAGTTGGAAGCTTTATGAATCCAAAAGGTTTAAGAAACACAAAAAAAAGAAAGGGGATTGCAGATTTGGCGTTATGTGCGGATTTGAGAGGATGCGGAATACCTATTATAACAAACTTACTTGCAAAATCAAGTCCTTAGCTAGCAAGTAATCAGGCATTTCACCATCCATCACAAATCTCAGAGTTGGAGGAACCTGCATTATACATGGATGCAGAAACTTATAGAATACATTTCAACATACATAACAAACCAGAAGAAAATTTTATAAAAAACTTAGCATCATTCAATCTAAAAATCCTTACTGGCACTCGATCTAAAAATAAAAATTGGCATCAGTCAAATATAATTGTGCAATATTCTACTTTTCTTTTTATCAACTATCCAGAACTAAGAAACTCTAAAGATAAATACGAAATACTGCAATTAACTCATGTATAGTGGTCCTAAACTCCTAAAATTGTTCAGAAATCCATCATATGGTAATTTTTACTTTTTTTTTCCAGTTTCAATGGCAGGGTGAAAAGATGCAGTAGAAATATTCAATAAGCAATTCATAGTTTCATACGGCAAAAAAAAAAAAAAAAAGGAACTTGCAAACCTTGAGCAAAATCTTCCCAGTACCCAATACAAAGCCTGCATCTGTATTCCCAATTCCAGTAGCAAATTGCCCAAATGCTCCTGCAGTACATGTATGGGAGTCTGTGCCCAGCAATACCTGAGAGCAAGCATAAAAAGTCAGTATTTGATATGGTCATATGGAGTCTAAAACTTTTAAAGTTTTGTTTACAAGTAAATGGAAATGACCTCTCCGGGCCTGGTATGACCCTCTTGGGCAAGTGCCACATGGCAGACACCTTTGTAGTCCGGGTTGGCCTAGAAGGTAACAGAACATATTTGTTCAGAAACAAAAGAATAACCACATATTCAAAGTCTCAGACAGTTCAGTTTTATGAAAAATGCATGGGGCATTAGCACCATACCCGAAAATTTCCAAGATCCTTGATGTCATAAAAGTACTTAATATTTTGCTCAGTGCAGAACTCCCTCAAGATATCCACATTACGGTTAGCTCTTTCATCACTTGTAAATATATAGTGGTCAGGTATGATAACAACCTTTTCACGATCCCAGACCTAGTGTTGAAAGAAGGAAGACATCCAACTCATCAGAATCTTAGCATCTATAGAGGAATAAAAACTCTATAAGCTCTGGTCTACAGGAAAAAAAAAAAAAAGCTTCCTGGACTACATTGAAAACATTAGGATGCATTTTCATTCTGATAGGAATTCACAAATAACAAAATGCAAGTTTACTATGGGCGAGCATAGATTGTTTTCAGTAAATGTGGTAGAAATAGTCAATAAGCAATTCAAATTTCAATGCACTGTATGCCATGGATAAAGATGGTCTATTGGCCAAAAAACCATTTATTACATGAATCAACAACACTGAAACCTAAGACAACAAAGTCCAAAGTCTTGAAAGTATCAAACACTGACTATCAATGAAGGGATGAAACTTAAAACTTTTCAACCTATCCTGACTTCAAAATTATTAAAGTTTTCAACTTTATTCACCATTAACATTAAAGCAATGGTTAAAATGACTTCAAATACCAAATTAATACGACAAACTTAATTACACGAAGGCAACTAACAGCAAAGTATCAATTTTTTTTAGCTCAGATTCAATATCATATAATTCAATTAGCAATTACCTTAGCATCTTGCCCGAACTCTTTCTTGAAAATTCCAATAGAACCTGGTCCACAGACATCATGGGTCATCAAAACATCAACATTTACCCAGACATTATCACCAGGGCTCAACTGGGACTTCTGTGAAGCCTTTGCCAATATCTTCTCAGTCATGGTCATCCCAGTCTTCACCTAAAATTATAATAATAAACAGTTAATCAACCCCTAACTCGTCTCAACAAAATCACAAATTTCGCCGAAACAATGAAATGAAATAACACGAATGCAACAAAACCCAACTGAGCCAGTGGTGGCAGGGGAGCGTTCAGTTTGCTGTGGCGCCATCACAGACACAATTTTCTTGCAACCGCTTTTCTTGGCCGTTTGAACTGAGATTGGACGCTGTGAAGAAAAAGCAGAGAACCCCACATCTTTCTGCTAAAAAAAAATTAAAAAATAAAATAAAATGGGTTAACATAACATTCTCACGATTCGGGAAAAAGATTGAATCTTGAAGAGTAAATATCAAGTGAAATAGCAAGAAAAACCTTGTTGATGAATGGTGAGGAGCTGGAGGCAATAGCAGAGGAGGCCATTGGAGATTTGGGTCTGCGCAGAGCAGAGTGGCGGAGGTAAAGGAAGGAAAGAGAAAGAGGTGTGCGCGGCACAAGGGCGTCAGTGGTGGCGTCTGATAAACACAGTAGCGGTCAATATTCGAACCCACGCGACTAATTTTGGCGATGAATCTGCGCCACTCAATTTCAGGTCGACGGTGAGATCCGGGTGAAGCCGGTGTTTGTGCACGTTTTTTCTTCTTCTTCCTCTTCTCCATTTTTTTTTCAGATATATTTATTATATTGGGAGAATAAAATATATTTTTTTATAGGAAATATGTTAATTTTTCTTTATTACATTGTAATATCTATTCAAATATAATTTCTCAATTTAATGAACCACAAAGAGTTAACAACGTCCTCAACTCGACCTCATGACCTCTCACATGAAAGAGGTGTTTGGCATGTCACTTTTTCTTCTAATATAGACTTATAACACATGAAAGAGTAAATATCTAAAATGGTCCCTCGACTATAACTAAATTCACAAATTGGTCAACTTTCAATTTCAACAAATTAAGTCCTTAACTTTGCAATTTTGACACAATTTGGTCCTCCATCTATTTGACCGTTTGTTGATCGTGATCGACGATCTCCAGAAGAACCTTCAGCTCTCGTCGGAGCACGTGGAGGTCTCCAGGATGACGTTGCACCGGTTCAGAAACACGTCGTCTTCTTCGCTCTGGTACGAACTCAACTACATTGAATCCAAAGGGAGGATGAAGAAAGGCGACCGAGTTTGGTAGATTGTTTTCGACAGTGGATTCAAATGTAACAGTGCAGTCTGAAAATGCAACCGGAACCTTAAAAAATCGACGATGGACCATGAAATTACATATATATCCTCAAAAATCACAGTCAACAAACGGTCAAATAGATAGAGGACCAAATTGTGTTAAAATTACAAAGTTAAGGACTTAATTGGTTGAAATTAAAAGTCAAAGACCAATTTGTGAATTTAGCTATAGTCGAGGGACCATTTTGGGTATTTACTCCACATGAAACATTACGCATGACAAAGAAACGGACAAGCAATGAAGACGAAGACAATGACAAACCCATCCAAAAGCGAATTATCAAACTTATAGTAATTCACGTTAAAAGTAGTATATACTACATAATACCGTACAAACTGAAAGTATTAGATAATTGTTTTTATGTCAACTATAATAAACTTCACATATATAATATTGTATTGGTATATTTTGAGTTATTTATTTAAATAGAACTATAATGAACTTCTCATGCCAACTACCATGTATTGTGACGATGGTAAGTGCATATTTGTTCATATTTAGGGGATGTTTGGTTCATGGAAAATGTTTTCCAAAGGAAAACATTTTCCTTAAAGTAGAGGAAAATGTAGTTTTCTTGTGTTTGGTTCATGAAATTCATTTTCCAAATGGAAAATGAATTCCTCAAATTTGAGGAAAACAAAATCCTTGGTTGGACCAAGGATTTTGTTTTCCATGGAGGATGGGAAGAAAAGTTGAGATGGAATGCCTATTTTACCCTTACTTTCTTTTTTAATTATATTACTCTTATTAATTTGTAGGGGCATATAGGTCTTTATACTCATTATTCCTTACAATTCCAAATCTAACCAAACAATAGAATTAGTATTCCCAGTAATTCTTTTTCCACCAACCAAACAATGAAATTCATCTTCCTAGTAATTGTTTTTCCATGAAATTCCAATTCCACTTCCCTTAAAATATTTTCCGCGAACCAAACGAGCCCTTACTCTACATGTATACTTTTAGCCTTATTTTGCTTATGAAGTGTCGCATTGGTGTTCAAAATGATCCTTATTTTGCTCATTTGATCAATTAGGCACAATGCATCATCTTTGAGTAGAAATGAGAAATTTTGGAGCATTTTGAATGCATTTGGAGTCCAAGGGAGCCAAACATGAAGCTATGGAGATGGATGCAACACTTGCAAGGGAGCCAAAGATCAATGTCTTCAATGGTTTTGATCACAATAACAAAACAAGGGAAGAGTGAAGCAAAAGACCAAAGAGTTGTAATTCCCGCTAAATATGGTGGCATCTTAGTATTTTGATCATATCTCATTCTAGGAATGTCCGATTCAAGTGATTGTTGCTTCAATGAAAATAAAACTCGAAGGTCTATAACTCTTATGAAGACCTCAAAGTATAATTTTGAAGGGAAAATGGTCAAAATCAGCATACAAATCGGACTTACGCAGCATAAGGATTTTCGACGCGTCGAGATGTGACAGAATGCCCTCTGTTTACACTCCAAATCAGCTTGACAAGTCGAATCAAGGTCTCGACGCGTCGAGAACTCCAAATATGTGAATTTTTCTCTTGAAAACTATATATTTTTTTACCCTATTCTCCAACCCACTATATAAAACATCATTCCCTTCAAACCCTAACCGTGTGTGGCGGCTTGGGAAGACAAAAGGAGTGAAGAGAGATAATTCTTCACTCCAAATGAATAATGAGGATCCCCCGCACATTGGAAGAGTAGAATCACATCTTGGAAGCTTCAAGTCACATAGAAGGTGGAAAAAAACTTGGAAGAACATAATTCTGGAGAATCTCTTCCTGACAAATTGGGTTAATGAGTTTGACTAGTTGATAACATTAGTTGATTGTAGACAAATATTTTTTAAATTATTTGTTAGCTGATAACTGATTACATGCAAAATGACATTTAAAAAAAACTAATTTAAAAATTTGTTTTGAGCAATTTTTAAAATTTTAACATTTTGAAGCATATGTTACAAACAAACTAATTAACCAAACACTTATATTGATTTTTTTAACTAAGTCAAAAAGCTAATAATGGTCAAATAAATCAAAATTAACTGATAAGCTAACTATGTTACCAAACAGGGCATTATGTTTGCCATATAGATTTAGATATTAACAAGAACAATTTTTGTTTTATTACTTTGTATATTATTTTATTTAAGAGTACTTAACACGACTTATTATATGATGACTAGTATTTTATATGCGCAAAAATATATGCCCAGTATTAATACTTAATGTTAAAATATTTTTTAAAATAATAATGTGTGTGTATGTGTACGTGCGAGTGTGTATATATATGTATTTATTTATAATCGTAGAATTCATACTTTTTTTTTTTTTTTTGGAAACATGAGGAGGGGGTGACCCTGGAGGTTAGTTAGACAGTTACTACTTTCAATAGCACAATCCTCTCTCAGAAGGCTTCTAATCTCCTCCAGTGGGGTGGGGAATATCTTAGAATTCATATTAATATTATTGAAGTAAGAATTATATAAATAATAAATTACTAAATATAACTATGGTAAAATTTAATTAAAATTCAGATGAATTCAAACTTACCATTGAAGAATGTAAGAAAAAATATTGTGTATGCATATGCATAGTAATTATAATATGAAAAGATAACAAAATTATAACAGTAGAGATATTGTTGTCCACAAAATTATATAGTACAACTTTTATAGCATGAGGTACAAACATAATTAACAGAAAAAAAAAAAAAAAACAGACATAAACCATGAATATAACCTAAATTGAAACTTATTATGTTTTTAGATTGAGCAAATACCAATTTTTATCCCACGAGTATTAACAAAATGACAATTTTAGTCCACATGCAATTTTCATCCCACGAGTATTAATAAAATGACAATTTTAGTCCACATGTTTAATTCCTACCAAAACTCATCCCACAACTATTGTTTTAGTATCAAAATTAATCACTCCGGTCACCGGAGATGTTAAAACACGCCGGAGTCACTTTGAATATTGATGATATATAACAAGGAATGATAAGGAACTTAAATTAATAGATGTCTTGACAGTACTTTCATCATCATTCATCCCATGGATCATAACTATTCACAATATGAAATAAATGAATGCATTAACTTACACTCCCATATGATGCGAAAATTCACCACCATAAAGTTAACAAAATTCACTATAGAGATAGTCTTGATTTAATAAGTATTTTGACAGCAAAATTCACAGCATATATGATCCTATTTCAATTAGTATTTTGACAGCAAAATAACAGAGAAATAATTATTTTCATAGCTTACAAGAAGGATTCAATAACAACGACAATTATTAGGGAGGGAAGATGGATTAAGGATTAGGATACGAATGACATACATTAATCAGGCTATTAAGTTTAATAATGACATCCGACGACCAAAGTGACTTTAGCACATTTTTACATCTCCGGTGATCGGAGTGATTAACTTTGGTAGTAAAATAATAGTTGTGGAATGAGTTTTTGTAGGAATTAAACATGTGGACTAAAATTGTTATTTTGTTAATACTCGTGGGATGAAAATTGTTATTTGCTATTTTTAGATTAGATTAGATTTAGATTTAGACATATGTGATTGATATAATACTTAATCTATCATAATCTTTTACTTACTATTCATTAATTAAATCGAATAAAATATTTACTCTTTACTTATTTTCTTTATTATTTGTAATGATTTTAAATTTATTTTTGTTGTGTTAATATTTTTTTTTTTTAAAAAAAAAAGCTACTAACTCTATTAGATTCTAATATTTGTTTATACTCATCTCATAACTTTCTATATGAAAGAGGTAATTACATGCCAACTGAATTTAAGGTGCTTGGCTAATATTACCTTTAATATAATTATATATATATATATATATATATATAAATTTTATATACAGATACTAAATTTAATATTATATAAAATTAAATTAAAATTTGTAGTCACACATCATTAATCGAATCAGATATATAAAATGAGATAGTTAGAGTATAGATACAAAATATTATAGCTTGATTTATTTTGGATTGATTTTTTTTAAGATATGATTTATTTAACATGATACAATGCGAGTGTCATGCTTATGGACTATGGTAGCATTTAGGAGAAAAAACATACGATTCATCTACTCTTGTTTACACTCTACTTCAACCTGGCGGGAAGACCAAAACATCATACTTCATAGTTCATACACTTTCACATGTTTCCACCATAAACTGCTACACTGTACTGTACCCTAGGACTGCTACAAACCAGGAAAGCAATGTCCTGTTTAGCAGCCAAGAACGTCGTCGTTTCAGTCTCCCGATGCCGGCACTTGTCCCTCTTTCTCCGGCACCCGCTCCACCGCCGCCGCCGCTGCTGCGGCTGCTTCATTTCCTCACCCCTCTTCCCTCTGTAAGTTATTCTCTCGTCCAACACACAAACTAAACTTGCGAATATTCAATGAAGTGGTTGGGCATTGTAAAGTATATCCTGATAAAAATTGAAAGGATTCTTAGAGATTAGGAAGAACTTGATTTTTTTAAAATTTTTCTCATACTATTCAGAATATATGATATTCTGAAAAAAATAAGTTGCAGACATGATTATGATTAGGAAATGCTCCATTACAATTCTAAAGTTTCTTTATGATAATTGAAGAGTCAATATAAATTTGCTTAGTTTATATCTTTCCAATAAATGTCAGTACTTACCATTGCTTCATGACTTGGGAGATAACATCATTGATGCATTTTAAACTCTTATTTTGTTCAGCATTAATCAATTTGACCAGATTTGTTGCTTCAAGGAGCGAAAGCTTTATGCCACATCTGCAAGAAAACCTAGACACTTTGAGAGTGTTCCAGAAGAAAGGAACTGTGCTCATATTGTGTGGTGGAAGGAGGTGGGCTACGTGCTTCTCATGACTGAATTGCTTCATTAGCGATTTAAAATGTTGTTGGTGCTTTCTTTTTGCTCAAAACACACACACGCACATATTCATTGTGCCTTGTGTCTTCATATTCATGATCTAATATTTCAGATAGTGGAGACGCTGAGAAAGCCTTCTTCAATTCAACTAGTTAAGAGGCTCACATATTCTAATTTGCTTGGTTTGAATTCTGATTTAAGGAATGGGAGGTGGGTTTTCATTTCTTGATGTTAATGTTAGGCTTTCATCCTACTTTCCCCCGCTTTTTTTCCCAGCTGGTGTTTTTAATCCTTCTTCTGTTTTTCCAACTGTTCTTTTTGCTAAGGAAAGATTGAGACATTGAGTTCAATTAAATTCAAACTAAGCACTTTTCCTGTTTATTATAGTCTGAAAGAAGGGACACTTAACTGGGATATGTTGCAGTTCAAGTCTAGATTTCCACGTGAGGTTTTGCTTTGCAGAGTATGCACATATGGCTTCTCTCTCTTTACTCTTTCTCTTTTACACCTAGGCTTATTTTAGCTTCCTACTGAATTCATATATTAGTTGGTAGATATGGAGAGTTTCATGTCCTTTTGCACGTTTCAGGTTGGCGAATTTTATGAGGCCATTGGATTTGATGCTTGCATCCTTGTGGAGTATGCTGGTTTAAATCCATTTGGTGGTCTTCGTTCAGACAGCATACCAAAAGCTGGCTGCCCAGTGGTGGTAACTGTATTTTTCTTTTACACACGGCGTCAAACACACACTTCTATGTTACTTTTTTTTTGGGGGGGCCCTTTTGAAATTATTCATTCTATATAATGTATTATTCCAAGGAATCAGGGGCCACTAATTCTTTGGAACTTTGTATGAGGGAAAAAAGAAAAAAAAATGATAGGTTATGGCTTTAGAGTGTAAATTGGCTTCTTGTTTTGATATATGAAATGATTGATCCATGATATCAGAAATAGGTGAGGTTACTAATTGTATGAGTAGAGAAATAAAAACCATAGACTACAACCAAAAGCTACTATAACTCTATAAGTATCCAGTGGAGTCTTCCAAACATAATCCCCTTGTCCCTTTCAATATTATCTCCGTTTTTGTATTTTTCCTCTCTAATTGTGGCTATACACTTGTACTTTAGTTTTGTTAATTTTATTATTCATTCATTATATATACTACTTGCACATTTCTTTTGCAGAATCTCAGACAGACTTTGGATGACCTGACAAGTAATGGCTTTTCTGTTGTAAGTACCATAACTCTAGACATACTATTTTACGGAGTAGTATCTTATTGCTCAGTTATTATGATACCTTTTTTTTTTTTTTTTTTAATACCTTCCACATTATATATTTTCAGTGCATAGTGGAGGAAGTTCAGGCCCCAACCCAAGCTCGTTCTCGTAAAAGTCGCTTTATATCAGGGTATTATTGAGTAGCAGTTCCTTTTCTTGTCATACATACAGTTTTTAATCCTTCTGTGCAGGTCATAACTTTCTTTTATGACTATTAATTGGAACAGTACCTACTTGTGCTATATATATGATAAAGATGCAAAAATTGAGATGGAAAGACTGCACTAATTGTTGCATGTGGAAACTTCTATACCCATAATACTTTTAAATTCATTGAAGTAACCTAACAATGTGGTACTTTTAGTTATGCTTTCTATTCAACTTGGCATATAGAAAACAACGCAGCAGCTCACACTTATGTCCTTGTTCATTCAGACACATGAATTTTATTCTGACAAAACTCTAGCATTTGATCGTACTGTTCTTTAGCACTGTAATTGTGATCTACAAGTCAAGTTGTCAAATACACAAATATATCGAACTAAGAAAAGTATTAATGTGCATATTGCAAATGGGGATGCGGAAGTACTGGGTGCTTTTGTACTTTATTATGTATATTTATAGTGGCTGCCTGCCTTCTTTTCATCTTTTAAGATGTGGATCTCACTATAACATGTTTGATATTTAGGCATGCACATCCTGGAATTCCTTATGTATTTGGACTTGTTGGAGATGATCATGATCTTGATTTTCCAGAGCCAATGCCAGTAGTTGGTATGCTAAAATATCCACTACAAAACATTTTAATTTGCTTCTTTGCTATTAGTAGTATTTTTTTATTTTGCCAAGTTTCAAGTTATGGTTACATACTCAAAGACTCTTGTCATTTTTGACTGATAAAACTATAAAAGTAAGAGTTTTAATTTTGTGGTCCTAGGAATATCCCGTTCAGTGAAGGGGTTTTGCATTGTATCTATTCTGGAAACTATGAAGACATACTCTACTGAGGATGGCCTTACTGAGGAAGCCTTAGTTACCAAGCTCCGGACTACTTTCTGTCATCATTTATTTTTGCACACTTCATTGAAACACAATTCTTCAGGTTTGCGATACTGCTCTCTTCTATTTCTTACTTTTTAATCTTCTTTGTCATTTGGAGTTGCAACTAGTTGGGATTCAGGATAAAATCATTCATTGGAAAGCCAAAGCATCCCTAGCAATCTAAAAATCTTAGTCTGCTATATGGTCAAATGATTTTTTTTTTTTTTTTTTTGATTCTTCAGATTTTAATGGTAGGCAAGCAAAGCATTATTGTAAATTTTGAGTAACCAATCCACTAAACATGCAATCAAACTTGGCAAATTATGCTGTGGAACCATGTCCACCTTGGGTTCCAAAATTGTTCATAATTATGAATATATAGTTCAAAAATTATGAACATATAGTTCTATAATTATGAACATATAGTTCTGTAATTATGAATATAGAGATTCAATAATTGTGAATATGAAGTTCAAAAATTATGAACATATAGCTTTATAATTATGAACATATAGTTCAGTAATTATGAACATAGAGTTCTGTAATTGTGAATATAGAGTTCAATAATTATGAATATGAAGTTCAAAAATTATGAATATATAGCTTTATAATTATGAACATATAGTTCAACAATTATGAACATAGAACCGTGTCCACCTTGCAAGGTGGACACGGTTCCACAGCATAACGATTGATCAAACTTGGGGTGGGCTTGTAGTGCACTAAAATTGGTGTGATTGTTGATTCTAGGCTGTGCTAGCGACTACCTTGACTCATACTGTGATAATGTGATATTAAGTTTCATAATTTTGTTTCACAAATCTGCTCCATCTATGCCAGTTATTTTATCCAATATTTCATCACACTGCAAGTTGTCCTCAGTATATATGAACTTTTCTTGTAGGAACATCTCGCTGGGGGGAGTTTGGTGATGGTGGGCTATTATGGGGAGAATGTCATGCCAGAAACTTTGAGTGGTTGGATGGTGATCTAACCAGTGAGCTCTTGTCTAAGGTTTGTATTTAATGGTTACTTGCACTTTTCTTATTTCTGTCATGCTGACCTTTCCTGCATACGACACCAAAATTTCAGGTAAAGGAAATTTATGGTCTTGATAGTGACACAGGTTTTAGAAATGCTACTGTTTCATCAGAAAATAGACCCCGCCCTTTGCACCTAGGAACAGCTACCCAAATAGGTAATGTTTAAGTTGTAGATGATTTTAGATTTTTACCTGTTAGTGAATGCAATATCATTTTGTCCTAAAACAACTTTGCTGATTCATATAATTAGGTGCTATTCCCACTGAAGGAATTCCTTCTTTGCTAAAGGTGTTGCTTCCGCCAAATTGCACAGGTCTACCAGTCCTGTAAGTGAGAACTCAGGAATATCTTATCCGATCTTATTCTTAAAATAAATGTTAATAACTTATGATTATCCCAATTCCCAAATATGTTAACAACGTTTTATGAACTCTAACTTATCAAAAGAAAGGAAAAGAACATAATTTCTTTTGGCTTTGAATATAAACTACATGGCTGTAGGAATTCCTCATTTTCAAGCCAACATGAGATAGTAAATTATGCATTATGATAGTAAATTAGTAACTTATTGCCTGCTAAGGGCAAACTTGAAAAATTTGAAAGTAATGTTACAATACCTAAGAAGAGGTTGATAATCATATTACCTTGGCTTTGTTATTCTTTTCCTGCAGGTATATCAGAAATCTCCTTTTGAATCCACCTGCATATGAGATTGCATCAAAAATACAAGGTAGTGCCTGAATTGCTAAACACTATCTCCTTCTGGTTCTACTCTGACTAGATATTACCCAGATATTTCACTCGTATCAACAATTTGCAGTTTCAATTTTTTTTTCTTTTAGTGTTTGCATGCATTATTTCTCTAGTTCTTGACTGTTATTTATGGATGTGTCCTTTAAATGTTCTGATTTCTGAACTCTTCTTTCTTTTAACAGTTTCTTTAGGGCATGCTTTTCTTTGCTGTTGGGTGGGTTGGGGGCAAGAATCTGGAATATATGTACAAACCTGAATTTTCTCGAGTTTTTGATTGCTATTTATGGGTGAATCTGTCCTTCAAACATTACTGTTTTCTGGACTCTTCTTTCTTTTGATTAGTTCTTTGGGGTATGATTTCCTATGTTGTTGGGTGGGCGGAGTGGGGACAGTGGTCCGAGAAGGAATATTGGTTCTGAATTTTCAATTTTCTCTAGTTTTTTTACTTTTATTTATGTATATGTTTCTGAATTTCATTTCTTGAGCATGTGCAGTGCTAGTGTTTGGTAGAAATAATATATTAAACGTATATAATCCTTAGTAACGTTAGGTTTATTTTTGCAGAAGCAAGCAGACTTATGATGAGCGTAACATGTTCAATTCCCGAGTTTACTTGTATCTCATCTTCAAAGGTAGTACTTTATTACTACTACTAAGGTTTTCTTGCTGCAAAAATTCCTGCATTCAAAATATTGCAATTAGGTTTTGCTTTTGTATTGCATTTTCAATGTCTTCTCTTGGTGATGGTAAAATTATTACTCCCTCCGTCCCATTTTATGTGTCTGGTTGGTTTTTGTTAACAAGACTTGATTGGAGTTATTTTTAATTCAATTTTTCATAATATTAAGTTTAGTATTAATATACAAAAGTTATATATTTAGAAATTACATTAGAAGTACTATTAAACAGAAAAATCAAATTTAGAAATAAGTAAAAAATACTAAAGAAAATAAGCAAAGAATTAAGAGTTGATTTGACCAATGAATAGTAAACATGAGTAATATTTACATCAACTAGTGCTATGGCTGCCCACGCTTTGTACATGTCAATATTGACTATTTTCATGCTCTATTGGCTTTTGAATTTATTAATTTATTAAAGTTTCATTACTTTGTTGAAATATGCGGCGAAGCTACAATAGCAAATATCATATATATATACACTAAAAAAACTAAAATAAAACTTGTTATCACAATTAAAAATAACCATCCATTAAGTATGATATTGATTAAGAAATGACCACGCTTTTTAAAGAAGAGTGGTGTCATGCCACTATAAATCTCCATTTTTCTATTTTTCTTTTAAATATTTCAAATAAATATGATATTGGCTAGGACTAGACATGTAATTGTCCAAAGAGATAAGTTTCATAAATCATAGTTATACGATTTTTTAGTTTATGTTTTACAAGTACTTACAAAAAACATCAACATTTATTAATGGAATAAGAAAAGATCTGTCTATAGGATGGCACACGGCACCCCGTCACCCCGGCACAACTTGGGCCAACAACATATTCCATTCTCCATGTTGGGGGATTATATAATTTTTACATGAATACAACGAGAATTACTAGATTTGGTAACAAAAGGGCAATGCCAAATGCCAATCTACATTTATATTGAGTTTTATCTGAAGAGTAGTACTTGGTTCTCTGGCAAATTGTGCCTCCATTCTCCATGTTTTGGGTTTTATATAATTTTTACATAAATATAAAAAGGATTGCTTGATTTGGTAACTAGAGGGCAATGTTAAATGTCAATCTACATTTATTGAGTTTTATCCGAAGAGGATTACTTGATCATCTGGCAAATATTATGAAACTAGCAACTCCATGCTTGGTGCACCAAAATGAGTGGCTAATTTACTTTCCCAACATTAAAATGATGATTAATTAAAACAGAAGAAATAATAATAAGAAATAGAAAAAAAATAAAATTTAAAGTGTATAAAGATCTAAAAGAATAATAATAATAGAGTTAGCAAATAGAATTAGTTAAATTTTGATTAATAAGATTCAATAATTTTTTTCTTAAAGAAATGTGTGTGTGTGTGTATTATATTATATATTTAGCTGATTATTTTAATAGAGTTAGTTATATTTTGATTAATAAGATTTGATAGGAATTTTTTGTATCTATTTTAGTTTTGAAATTAGCAGGAAATGTTATGTCAAAACTCAAAACTCAAAACTTGCATATACTGTTTTTGTTGAATTTATGTTGTGCTTTTTATTTTTTTAATTTGAGTTACAGTAATTGAAAGTACAACCATTTAACAAATAAATAAAAGATTAAAAAACTTAACTGGAGTATTAATGGGGTAAGGGCACATGTGTTCAAAAAAATTAAAACTACAATTATTAAAGCACAATATACAAATACTTTGGATGGAAAAAGAGTATAAATCTTAAGGATATAACCATTACTCTCTCTTTATATATAGTAGGATATTTATATTAATTAGCATGAAGCATTGGGGGGAAACTTTCATATGAAAGTTTAATGCCAGTTTTGTGAAATGTTTGTGTTAATCGGTGTGAAGCATCAATGATCAAATTTTGTATGAAAGACTAATGCCATTTTTGTGCATTATATGGATACGTATCTTCTCCTTCTCTCTCCTATTATTCAACTACATGTGTAACACATAGCTTTTGCCTTACTAATGGGTAGTGGCTCCTTGCAGCTTAGTGGACCATCCAACTCGTTATGGAGTTCTTTTGCTTCTCTTTGATATTAGTAGTAGGCATACTTTCAGATATACTTTCATCATCTCATTGAATGTTCTTATTGGTAAGCTATATATCTACTTTGCAGCTCGCCAAGTTACTTGAGCTGAGGGAGGCAAATCACGTAGAGTTTAGGAGAATAAAGGATGTGCTGGATGAAATACTGCAGATGAATAGAAATAATGAGCTTCTTCAAATCTTAAAGTTATTGATAGATCCTACTTGGGCGGCAACTGGGTTAAAAGTTGATTTTGATTCACTGGTAAGGTTCGGGGCTTCTGCAGTTCCTCTTTCACACCCCCCTCCCCTCCCCCAAGTAAACTGCAACCTTTGTTTACAACAAAATGAAGAATTTATATCAATTTTGGGAGGACGAATTAACCCCAAAACCAAGAATGATATGGATTCTTGTTCTGATGGGTTTGGCATTTTCCTTATTGTAGCTTTGAGGTGAAGACATTGAACTCTTATTCATTGCAGTTGGAAGCGTAAATCTTATCATTATTAATCTTTTGAAGTCTAGTTGTCTACAAAAACATTACATTGTTGATTATGACAGCTCCTTTTCACTGTTGAGTTGTTTATTTATTTATTATTTATTTATTTATTTTCCTTTATATAAATTGGTTTATTGGGTAGTTGGGGTTCAAGATTTTTCCCCTTCATTATTTTGAGGGTACTGTTTTGTGAACATACATGAATTCTTATTTTCCACAAAGTAATAAAGTAGCTCTAATCAGGCCATAGAGTTGATGGATTTGTGAATTAGAAAAAGAAAGCTACTTCAGAAATATTTTTCCATTGGTACAATCAAGGTCCGAGTGGGAAGTAAGCCGTGTTTACTTGATTTTCTATAGAGTTAATACCATCCGGGATCCTCCGAGTATAGTGGTTTTGCCACGTTTAGTCCTAAACTTTCAAATTCTCCACCCGTGGTCCTTTGACTTTCAAATTGTTACCATCTGTGGTCCAAATTAACCATCCATGGTCCTTCAACTATCAAATTTTAACCATGGTACTTCTAGAGGACCAGTGCTGGTTAAATTTTAAAAGTTGAAGGACCATGGATGATTACTTGGACCACGGATGGTAACAATTTGAAAGTTGAAGGACCACAAGTGGTCAATTTGAAAGTTTAGGACTAAACATGGTAAAACCACTATACTGGGAGGACCCCAGATGGGCAGATGGTATTAACTCATTTTCTATATCTCTTATGGTCAAGTAACTTCTTTCCATGACTATTTCATTTACTTCTCTCAGTTTGGCTATGTTTGATGTGCCTCGGCCATAGTTGCTTCCTTTACTCACTTATCTATGCTTCTGTTTATGTTATTCCTAGGCAAGCTACTATAGTTCTTAAATCTTTAGAATTTTTCCTTGGTTTCGTACAGGTAAATGAATGTGAGAAGGTGTCGAGTTCAATTGGTGACATAATATTTCTAGATGGAGAAAGTGATCAAAAAATAAGTTCCTACTCTATGATTCCTAAAGAATTTTTTGAAGATGTGGAGTCATCATGGAAGGGGCGTGTCAAGAGGGTTCATTTAGAGGAAGCATATGCAGAAGTCGAGAAGGCAGCAGATGCCTTATCTTCAGTTGTAAGTTCTTTAGACTCTTTCCAACGGGCTTTATCCACCATATTTGACCTGTACTTCTACGCTTGTTCAAAGTCCAAATATGCATGATCAGCATAGGTCAAATGTAAAAGTAACAAGCCATCAGTATGAGAAAACATCTTAATTGTTGAAATCGAGTTTTCAATGAGTTTTTAGGTTACAGAAGATTTCTTTCCCATTATTTCAAGAATAAAGGCCACTAATGCTCCATTTGGAGGGCCAAGTGCGCCTAAGGGGGAGATTTTATATGCTCGAGAGCACCAGGCTGTATGGTTCAAAGGAAAACGCTTTGTGCCTCCTGTTTGGGCTGGGACTCCTGGAGAAGATCAAATTAAACTGCTGATACCTGCTCTGGACTCGAAGGGAAAGAAGGTTGGAGATGAGTGGTTTACCACGAGGAATGTGGAGGAAGCATTAGCAAGGCAGGTTTTCCTGACGCAATAAAGTCATTTTGCACGTTCTTTTTGCATTCTAAATGCTTTTCTTCGTATAAGTTGTGAACTTTAAATATTTGTTTCAGGTACCATGAGGCTAATGCTAAGGCAAAGCTGGGGGTACTGGAATTGCTGAGGGGGCTTTCTTCCGAGTTACAATCTAAGATCAATATCCTCCTCTTTGCATCCATGCTGGTTATAATTGCAAAGGCCTTGTTTGCTCACGTGAGGTTGGCTAAACAACATATGCTATAAACTTTTTATTTTTATTTTTATTTTTATTTTTATTTTTATTTTTATTTTTTAAAATCATTGACTGCACCATACAAAAGCATTATTGGTATGCCAAACATTTGCCAAAATGAATCATGATGGTATATGTGTCTCTATGTTGTTGCCTGATTCAAGTGCCTAAGGGCTCGTTTGGTTCGCGGAAAATATTTTAAGAAAAGTGGAATTGAAATTCTATGGAAAAACAATTACTATGAAGATGAATTTCATTGTTTGGTTGGTGGAAAATGAATTACTGGGAATACTAATTCTATTGTTTGGTTAGATTTGGAATTGTAAGGAATAACAAGTATAAAGACCTATATGCCCCTACAAATTAATAAAAGTAATATAATTAAAAAAAGTAAACAAGGGTAAAATAGGCATTCCATCTCACTTTTTCTTCCCATCTTCCATGGAAAACAAAATCCTTGGTCCAACCAAGGATTTGTTTTCCTCAAATTTGAGGAATTCATTTTCCAATGGAAAATGAATTCCATGAACCAAACACAAGAAAACAACATTTTCCTCCACTTTAAGGAAAACATTTTCCATGAACCAAACATCCCCTAATTATAACTTAATTTTCCGTGCAGTGAAGGGAGAAGGCGGAAATGGGTTTTCCCTACACTAATGCAATTCCAAAAGTTCGAGGTATTGTTCAAAGTGCCATAAAGTATTATTTTAGCTAGCTTATCTTGAAGTTGAGTTGTGTGGGGACAAATTTTGATTTAATTTAACAAATTACTGATTAATCCAAGATGGTATTTGATATGTTTTAGTAGATAGACTACGCGTCACAGGTCTATGGTTAACGGAGGAAGCAGGTGGTCTACCTATGGTGGCTGGATATAGAATAAGAGAGGAGAGAGTTGGGGAGAAGTTGGAGGAAGAAACTTCCTTTTGATTTTATTCAATTTCCAACTTAACTTGACAAATTAATATTCTCCCATATATATAGGAGTTACAACCAAAGATATAAGGAAATAATATTCTAAAACTGTTAAACTAAATATAAAGGAAATATAACTAAACTAGTAAAGGAAACAATATAACTAAACTAGTAAAGGAAACAATATAACTAATTTGATCTTTAGGTAGTGTGAACTAGTTGGGCAGCAGGATCTGTAATGTATCAGTATTAGTTCTCATCATGAGTAGCATGTACTTTCTTCTTGAACTGTTTCCAGTAATAGTCCCTATAGTGGTATTTTCACTTTTAATGTCCATTAACCGTCACGAAGGGACTATTTTTGTGTTATTCCTAGTACTTGGGGGACTACTATTGTACTGAAAATTGGACAAGACTGATCCCAAGTATTCAAATCTGGATAGGAATTGTCTCCCAACTATTGAAAATTGCAAAATGATCGTGATTCCATTAATGGGACCTTAATGAAGGACTGTTTCTGCCCAATTTCCAGTACTTGGGTGATGTAAAAGTTAAATTCCACTATAGTATGGGTTTAAACGGGAATTAGTTGCACTTTCTTCTATCAAAACCTATGTAATTAGTCAAGCCTACGTTTTAAAAATCTAAGTTGCATACTTTCTTGTATAAGTGAAATTTATTATGGTATTAGTAATGCCTTTCTAAATGCAGGATTGCAAGCCACATGGCGGGGTTAATTCAATGAAGATATCTGGTCTATCCCCTTATTGGTTTGATGTGGTGCGAGGCAGTGCTGTACAAAACACAGTTGATATGAAATCGCTATTTTTGTTGACTGGGCCGAATGGAGGTGGAAAATCAAGCTTGCTGCGATCAATTTGTGCTGCGGCATTGCTAGGAATCTGTGGATTCATGGTTCCCGCTGAATCAGCTGTGATTCCTCATTTTGATTCTATTATGTTACACATGAAGTCTTATGATAGCCCCGCTGATGGAAAAAGCTCGTTTCAGGTGCTGTATATTCTCCACAGGAAAGGGGTCAAATACACCCCCAAACTTTATACGAAAAGTCAATTAGGCCCTTGAACTTTTGAAAGTTGCAATTAAATACATAAACATGTCAAACTAGTGCATCAAGGCCCAAAAACCGGTTAATGACCTGTAATAACAGGTCACTAGGGTTCTGGCAGTTGTCCGGTGATGCTCCGAGTGAAAATCGGCGACGGGCGAGCAACAGGTTGCCGGAGAAGGTGTTGCTCTCTAGTTGCCGGAGAAGGCGACCAACTGACGCCTTCTCCGGCGACCTGCTCCAGAAATAATCGGAACACTGGCGGACAACCGTCGGAACCCTAGTGACCTGTTATTATAGGTCACTAACCGGTTTTTGGGCATTGATGCACCAAACTGACATGTTTATATGCTTAATAAATGCAACTTTCAAAAGTTCGAGGGCCTAATTGACTTCTCGTATAAAGTTTGGGAGTGTATTTGACCCTTTTCCCTATTCTCCACATATAGCATCTTATATAATGATGATGGTTTGCTCTTGCTTACGTTTTAATGATGTTTTAACTCTCGAACGCTGAAGAAAACGTTATGTAGCATGACTCGTTTATTTATCTTTATGCAAAGTAGTTTTGTTTTGTTGAACAGGTTCACGCCTATATCTTTTGGCACTAAAACGTTTTTGCGTTGATGACTCAGATTGAAATGTCAGAAATGCGTTCCCTCATTAATGGATCCACCTCGAGAAGCCTAGTACTTATTGATGAAATATGCAGAGGAACAGAAACGGCAAAAGGAACGTGTATCGCTGGCAGTATTATAGAATCTCTGGACGCAATTGGTTGTTTGGGCATTGTGTCAACCCACTTGCACGGAATCTTTGATTTACCTTTAGAGACGAAAAGAACTGTATACAAAGCGATGGGAACGGATTATATTGATGGCCAAACTGTACCGACTTGGAAGCTTATCGATGGGATTTGCAGAGAAAGCCTTGCGTTTGAAACAGCTCGACGAGAAGGGGTTTCTGAGAAGGTAATTGATAGGGCAGAAGAGTTGTACCAATCATATTATGGACACAGTTCACCCTCAATGCCTACAAACCCAGACCCGAGACATTTTATTGCTGATCACTTAAATGGTTCGAGACAAGAAGTTATGACTTCCGCGAGAAAATCGGTGTATAGAACGGAAATATTGTGCAAGGAACTAGAAAACGCCATTACTACTATCTGTCAGAAGAAGCTATGTGAACTCTACAAGACGAAAAACACATCTGAACTTGGCGTTAAATGTGTTGTAATTGCGGTGAGGGAGCAGCCGCCTCCATCGACTATTGGTACTTCGACGGTTTATGTGATGCTTCGCCCCGACAATAAGCTTTATGTTGGACAGGTATGTTCTTTTATGTTATTTGTCTTATTATCTCAATCCCCCCAAATGCTTTCAACAATCTATGCATCCATCTCAATCACTTTTACCTACATTTTGTGTTGTAACTTGGAACCACATAATTAATTGTTCATTGCCAACTACCATTGAAACTTCGTCCTATCATTTTTTCTACTATTAATTCCTCAATTTTTAATTCTTGACAACCTTTAGTCATTCTGGTGAGTTTTTTTAGCTAAACATCACACATTACACAACATATGTTTGGCCAAAAAACTCATCGGAAGCACTAAAAGTGATAAGAAATTCAAAATCGTGAGATTGGTAGTGAAAAAATGATAGTTGAGATGCCAAAAGTGGAAAAAACTCTTTCTTGAGAGCAATTTCAGACATTATTTTTGAAAGTGTTACGTTGATTATTTTCAGAGTGATGATCTTGGGGGTCGAATTCGTGCTCATCGCACGAACGAGGGAATGGAGAATGCCCGCTTTGTGTATTTCGTGGTAGGTGGGAAGAGCGTGGCCTGTGAACTGGAAACTCTTCTTATAAATCAACTTCCAAACCACGGGTTTCAGTTGACCAATGTTGCTGATGGTAGACATAGAAATTTTGGGACATTTGTTGATGTCTCCTTGGAAACAGTTAGCATGCTGAAATGAACTGCTCAGCTTGCTCCACAACTAGGCCTAGTTATATTGTACAAAACAAATGTTCATAAAAATGTATTTACACAATTAATTGAGATGATTCTGGGGATGCAGCAATTTTGGGTCAACATTAGTTGCTCCACTCATCATTTTTGTATCAAAATTTTGGGTACAAATTCTAATGTTATTTGGTTATGTGAATCAAATCAAAGGGCATAATTTTGTACTGAGTTCCATTTAAGGGCTTATATTATGGTAGTCTTATAAATTGATCACGTCTACTTCTATGACTTTGCTAGCATAGTTATATTCTAATTGATTTTAATTTTTCGGACAATTCAAGAATTGTACAGTTTCATCTTGTCGAAAAACATTCCTACACGATACATATATAAATAGAGTGATGACTCTCTTGTGAGTTTGTTTCACGTATCTTTATTCGTGAGATGAGACTGGTCGGGTCAGGATGAAAATGTAATACTAATCAGGAATAAGATGTTTATAACGGATAAACGGAGTACTTATAAGGGAAAATGTAATAGTTTTGAAGAAAAATGTAATACTTTTCAATTAAAATGTAAAAGTGTTACATTTTTCATAAGTAACAAATATCTTATTCTTGATTATTATTTCATTTTCCAGTATGAGTATTACATTGATAGTTTGACACAAGCTTTTGTGATATAAATAAGGATTTGATATTCTTTTTTGTTTGTTTGCATTTTATTTTTATTTAATGATAGGTTGAATTCACTACGTTTTCTTTAATTAGATACACTATCCATTGCATTTACTCATACAAAGTAGCTTGAATTCAATATATAGTTACATGTTAGGGCCATAGAGTTTGGATTTGCAGAAATGATAGGTCATATAAGATTCTCAGCAACAAGTTGACTTGCATAGGTTCTCATTGTTGCAGAAAGGAGTCATTAACAAGAATAAATCCAGACCCAACAACGTAGTTGTGGTCGTGCCGGAGTGGTTATCGGGCATGACTAGAAATTATGTGGGCTCTGCCCGCGCAGGTTCGAATCCTGCCGACCACGGTTTTAAGAGGACATGAATACATTGTTTTTGAAAGGAAATAAGGCGGAAAAATAGTTGCAATTAACATTTGACCTAATTCAAAGTCAAAATTTAAAATTTTAATTTCTTCTCCCTTCTCTTTTCTTCTACCTTACACAAAATTTCTCTCATCCCCTCAGTGTGAGAATGAAATATTAATTTGTTTGATTGAAAATTCTCTTTTATTGCTCTTAACTAATATCTATTTACTACAATGAACTTAGAGCAATAATCTCAAAACTTTAAAATAAGACCGTGATAATTATATATAATTAAACATAATGCCCGGCCATGATCGATAAGCTAACATAAAATTTAATACAGAGTACTTTAATTTAAATTATATAATTATAGTACACGATAAAATGGTTACCAGTACCAAAAACTATTATAAGCACTATTTTATAATAGATTCAAAGGAATTGTATATATGATCAGAATATAGAAGCATGCGTGTGTGTGTATGTGTGTGTGTGTGTGTGTATATATATATATATATATATATATATATATATATATATATATATATATATATATATATATATATCATCAAGTGAAAACATCCGCCACTCAAATTAGACCTCTACATGTCGTCAATCGCCTCCCTCTCTAAGATTGTCAAGGTCATTGTGGAAGGGAAGATTCCTTTGAACTTAAGTTAGGTAATCGCGGGATCGAGGGAAATTACGATCCGACAAGAGCCAAGACTTGTTTTTCAAAAGTCAAGATGATGGTAGGTAATTGACACTATCATTGAAGTGTTCATGACTAATTCTAAGATGCAGAAATTGTTCTAAAAATTGCGTTGAAAATTGATCATGTAGCAAATTAAAGATTAAAGTTGTGGCATGAAAAAAGCTCATTGCATTTTACAACAATTTCACTGGTATCTAGGTGCAAGGAATAAAGAACGACATTGTTTTCCAAGGTTACACAATTATTTTATAATAACGTGTACTTGTTAATTATAGTTGGATGCGGCTCAAGTATTAAGGAGAAAAGAAAGAGAAAAACGAAAGGTTTTGTTTGTGATGATTTAGAAATGACCAGAAGAGAATCAGCTTGGTTGGCGTGTGTGGTCGTGCACTCTCGTCCCTTAAAAGAGGTCGGAGAAGGGCAAATTTTACTGTGGACCATAGTCCATGTAGTATTGTGGTCTATAAAGCAAGTATCATTCTAATTAACTTTAGTTTCATTTGACAATATTGCTCTATTTTTCAGTTTTATTTCCCACACTCACTAGTTTCATTATGACTTTATTCGTGTGCTGAATGTATGTTATACAAAATAATATACTTTCAATACTCAAATAATATACTTTTCCTAAATGCAATATACATTTTTAATATACTAAGAGTACATTATTTGTGTATGACATGTACATACTGTACATTTAGTAGTAGTTGTTGTTGTTATTATTAGTGGTAGTTGTAGTAGTAGTTGTTTTTGTTATTATTATTATTATTATTAGTAGTTGTTGTTATTATTAGTAGTAGTACGTACTACGTAGTAGTAGTTGTTGTCGTTATTATTAGTGGTAGTATGTAGTAATTGCTATCGTTATTATTAGTGGTAGTAGTAGTAGTTGTTGTTTTTTGAGTAATGTTGATTCTATTACAATGTTGTATCTGCTCATAACTATTGAGAGCAACTTGGTGTCACTAAGGTCCTTAGCAGTTATTAGTTGTTATTATTATTATTAATACTAGTATTTTCTATGCACGATGTGCAAAAATATGTGCACAATATTAGTACTTTATAATAAAATTTTAGATTTATTTAAATTTTAGATATTTAAATTATTGTAAATAATAATAATAATAACAACAACAAAATAGTGTAAAACATTGTAATAAATTTAATATTTATATATATTTTATGAAATAACTAACATATAACTCCAATATATAATGTGCATATATTATTATTGAAAAGATAAGAAAATATATGGTGGATGCATGTGCATGGTAACAATAGTGGAAAAGATAACGGAAGTTATAACGGTAGGGGTATGGTTGTTCAAAATATTGTATAGTACAACTTTTATAGCATAATGTATTAAAAACGTATAGTAACGAAAAAACAGACATAAATGAAGGGTATAATCTTCATTATATTCACGCTTATTATTCTTTCCAAAAGGTTGAACCCCAACTCTAAGGGCCCGACAGAGCATCTAGGAGGATGTAAATCATGGTAACTCAACTGAATATGAACCACAGAGGCTAGACCTTTCCTTACTGTGTACAAGGAGCCCCTCACTGCCGTTAATGAGACTCGATCCCTGGTCATTCTTTCCAACTTTCACCTCTATGACCAGTTGAGCTGTCCATGCAAGCAAACATTGGAGCTATGAATGGAACACGTGCCCCCTCATTCACGCTTATTATGTTTTTATTAGATGATTGAATAATCCCTCAACCAAGTAGCAATAGTTGTGCATTCAAAAAAAAAAAAGTAGCAATAGTTGTCTGATTAATTGATTTACTGACCCGTCCACCAATCCACCAAAAGACTCAAAGGTCCCGCGCAAAACGACGCCATAGACTTTATAGTCAACTGCCGGACACCATGCAAATAGATCACGAATAGGCTCTATACATATTAATTTTTTCGTTAATAAGTTAATAATAAATAATTAACCGAATATTTCGTTACTAAAGTTTATACAAATAAAATGAAGGGTTATTTAAAAGAAGAAAATAATATAATAGATGATAAATAAGGAAAATCATACAAAAAAAATACTAAAATCAAAATAATATGAACCATTCATTTCAACCAATAATTACACCCAACAATTTTTTTGTTCAGGTGCCTAATTTTATTGGCTCTTATTAGATTTGTATGTAGATGTAGATTATAATCTAAAATTAGGTTTTATAGTCAATTGCCAGACACTGCACAATGCAAATGGGCCATAGCTAGTAGAGATGGCAACAGCGCGGGGCGGGGCGGGGGCGGAGAGTATACTCCCCGTCCCCGTCCCCGCGGGAAATTTGACGGGGACGGGAAATACCCATCCCTGGTCAACCCATAGTCAAAGTGTCAAATTAGTACAATTTTTTAAAATAAAAAAAAAATTAAAATAATATATAATATATAATATATATATTCGAATATATACACAGTATCCGTATATAAGTATATGCTTTATGCTTAATTCCACATTTAATATTCAATATTGAATACACAATACACAATACACAATAGGGTTTATACTTAATGTTTAAATGAAAATTTTAAATATAAGTATGAGTGTATCGTGTATGACTTACCTGTGCGACATGCAGAAGCAAAACTTCTAATAATCTAATTTCTAATTACTAATATATATATATATTAATATACTAATTATTCGGGGACTGCTCCCCGTCCTCGCCCCGTCCCCGCCTGGGAATTTGTGAAATTTCTCGTCTCCGTCCCTCCGATTCCCAATTTTTTTTCCTCCGTTCTCGATAGAGACGGAGATCCTCGGCAGGTACGGGGCACATTGCCACCCCTACTAACTAGGTTTTGATATCATGTTATAATCTAATATTGGATTAGGTTACTCAATTAATCGGGTCAACTAGTCTAACACATGACTGTACTTTAGAAGTTCATATCTTTTCTCTTATTCTTTCCATACAATTCTACAGTAATATAAAACCTAACATGCTCACAGTACAATGATCGAATTTTTATCACCTCTTATCCGTGTCCTACACTGATATTGGAGTAAGGTTTTAGAGTGATAGATTCAACTAAGGGATCGATGGATCATCTCCAACAAATAGCCAAAGCTTACTACCTCGCCGGCTCGCCGGAGCTCCAAACCGGAGTCCAAGAACTGTTCGACACCCTGGACAGCGACGGAGACGGCTACATCGACAAAGACGAGTTCATAAGCGTCTTGACCCAAGACAGCGCCGACGAAGTACGCGACGTAGAGAGGTGCGGGAGCCTCTTCGAAGAGCTGGACATCGACGGCAACGGGACGTTAGATTTCTGGGAAGTCATGACGCTCCTCTATATTTATATGAGCAAGAGGCCGAGCTGCGATGGGTGCGGGAGATTCATTCCGGCCACGTATTTCTCCTGCGTTGAGTGCCATGCCGACCTTCATACGCAGTCGTTTGATCTGTGCATTGGTTGTTATCAGAACCGGCGGTCCTCCGGGCATAAACACCGGGGGAAGCCGGCCACTTTCTTGGATAATTATACTCTATTGGAGGCTAAGAGAAGTTCGGGCTTGAATACCAACGCCGGTGACGGCGCCGATGTAAACAACGTCGTCATATCGCAATTAGCGTCCACTTCTTCTACACACGTTGGGTCGTCGTCGGCGGCCCCTGCGAATCCTCCAAACACCAACACTACTGCCGTTGTTCCAGCAACTAATAAATATGTAAGTAGTCCTCAGGTACCCTCATTATTCCAAATTTCACGTATAATTAGCTTGTTCTTCCAAAAGGCTGAACTCCAACCCTAAGGGCCTACACTCCGGTCAGACAGAGCATTTGGGAGGATGTAAATTATGTGTTGATGAAATTGAAGCTTTAATTTGTTATTCTATTTTCAGGAGAAATGGAAGCTTGTCCTCCAAGCAGTACAGATGGCATTTGCCGTGGGGACTGCATGTACCGTCATGTAACCAACGTCGTCAAAACCTCTATGGATTTAACTATTTAAGTTTTTTTAAGTATGAATTCATGTTTTAGTTCGAATCTTGGTTTCATTTATAATAATTGTTTAGTATTGCTTATGTCTTTAAATTCTTGTCATATTCGTTTTGTACGTCGGTCTATGAATCGAGTAATTCATGTTCTTGGTGCTTCTGTTGATAGCAACTCTTCTCCTCGGGTCTGGGAGAGCTTCCCGCCTGAGTGTATTGTTCACCTTAATTGATTAATAATATGCGTTGGTTACTTTTTTTAAAAAATGTAATATATAATTCACACACAAGTTATTACAAACTTTTCCATAAATTAAAATTGTCCAAGAAATACTCGTCTTTCACACGTTAAAACTTGAAAGCTAATGGTTCAAGACTTAGTCAACCTTTGTTCAGGGGGCAATATAATAATTTACAGTAATTAAAAAAAAAACTGAAAATTTTCACTTCTGCTCATTTGATTATTATACATGAATCACATTTGTTCTATGACTATTAAAATTTTCTAATTAGATGCATGAATATATAATTTATATAACCTTTCGCCATGTTGCTTAATTTCTGACCAATTATTGCCGAATTTGATCCTTCCGGAAGGAGTCAAAGAGCATTGTGTTTGCTTCTTTTGGAAAAAGCACTTCTGGCAATAGTTAGTCATGCACCTAATTAGAAATTTTAATATTCAAGGATCAAATGTGATTCGTGTATAATAGCCAAAGGACCAAAAGTGAAAATTATTTTTTTTTAAAAAAAATTATCCTATGAAAATTAATTTTTTCATAAGTATTATAGTTTCCCTCATAAATAAATCTACAACTCCTAAATATTACATTTTCATTTAAAAATATTATTACATTTTTTTTTCTCAAAAGTATCACATTTTTCTTAATAAATATTAAGCTTTTTCTTATAAGTAATAATCAAATTATCTATGATTAGTATTACACTTTCCTCATAAATATTACGTTTTCTCTCATAAGTAATGATCAATTAATTTATCTCTGATTAGTATTAAAATTTTTCTCATAAATAATTCTTCAACCTCTAAATATTACATTTTGAGTTAAAAGTATTACATTTTTCCATCATAAATATTATATTTCTATCTAAACTCGATCCATTTCACACAAAATAAAAACAAAAATTAGTGAAATAGTCTCATAGAAGTCTCACCTAATAAAATTTGATAAGTGCTGACAATAAAGATTCAAACACTACACACATCATGAACATATCATGCTCAACTCAATAGCTAAGCTTTCAATACGTTATAATTCACTGTATCCTAGAAAATCGACACTTCAACATTCTTAGCACCCTTAGAAAGAAGTAAATTGACAAATTTTAAGAAAAGTGTAAGTATCAGACGTCTTGTATTGTAGATTGAAATTTCAAAATTATTTTTCATAAAGTAAAATTCCCTTTTCGGAACTAGAAATTATTAGTCTAGCTTCTTTGAGCACGGAATAAATACTCAAAGTTTTCAATTATTGAATGGCTCATATAAACCTGTACTTACACAGGCTCGCTTGTAGATAAGTCACAGTTCTGGATTGTCTACGTAGTTGTGGTCGTGCCGGAGTGGTTATCGGGCATGACTAGAAATCATGTGGGCTCTGCCCGCGCAGGTTCGAATCCTGCCGACCACGATTTATATAACATCTGTGCTGTTTTGTATTTTTATTCATAAAAGAATTGTAGAGCCGTGTTTATGTGAATAATTTTGTACTGAGTTCCATTTAATAAAATGTTCACCTGTTACAGCTCAAGCCTCAAGGGTTGAACCACTTATATATTATGGTATTCTTATATTTAATTTGATCACTTCTAATTCTATGACTTTGCTAGCATAATTATATTCTAATTGGTTTTAATTTCTCAGACAATTCAAGAATTGCACAGTTTCATCTTGTCGAAAAACATTTTTACATGATATATAAATAGAGTGACTCTCTTGTAAGACAGATCGGGTCAGGATGTAAATGTAATACTTATATTAAAAAAATGTAATACTAATCATGACTAAAATATTTATAAAGGAGCACTTATAAGAAAAAATGTACTCCGTAATACTTTTCAATCAAAATGTAAAAGTATTATATTTTTCTTATAAGTAACAAACACTTTATTCTTAATCCATTAATGTTGTATTTTCCAATATGAGTATTACACTGATGGTCGAGCATCCACACTAGTTTAGTTTTTTTCACGGTTTTTGATGATGCAAGTAGGAGAGAGAGGAAGGAAAGAGAAGAAGAAAAAAAAAGAAAAAAGAAAATAAAAAAGTTGCTGCATCTGACGTCCAAAAAAAAAAGGCATAACGCGCCAGTAGGCGCATGAAGTTGGGCGTTTGCTATGCGCGTTTCCATTTTTTCTCTCCTTGGGGCCCACAAAAAACCATTACCTTGCAGGAAACCAGAATGTCTTCTCTCACCTCATTCTCTATCATCCACCTCATAATAGGCTCCACAAAAAAAAAAAAAAAAAAAATCACTAGTGTGGATGCTAATAATACAAGTTTTTGCAATATAACTAATGATTTGATATTTTTTTTGTTTGTTTGTTTTTTATTTAATGATAAGTTGAATTCAATAATTTTTCTTTAATTTGATACACTATTCATTGCATTTACGCATACAAAGTAGCTTGAATTCAATATATAGTTACATGTTAGGACCATAATATAGTGTTTGGATTTACAGAAATGATAGTCATATAAGCTTCTCAGCAACAAGTTGACTTGCATAGGTTATCATTGTCACACACTACAAGAATGTTAACATTTAGCGACGTTTTTTAAACGTCACAAAAAATAAAAAACGTCAGCAAATATATTTATTGACGAAATAAAAACGTCGCCCCGACTGTCGGGTTAGCGGCGTATCAGCGTATGAAAATGTATAACTGACGAAGTTATGTTTCGTCACTAAATGATACTATTACCGACGTTTTTGCATGGTCTTGATAATGTCATGGAATACATACATTTTGAGACGAAAGATAAACAAAAACGTCAGTAATAGTTAGTGACAAAATAAAATAATTCGTCAGAAAATGTGCCTTTACTGACGTTTGCGGGAAAGTTTTTTTTTTCTTTTAATTTATGAAGATAATGTTTTTTAATGGCGCTAAAATAAAAAACTTTCCCGCAAAATATTTTCACTTTTCCTGACGTTTTGTGTTAAAATTAATTTTAAAATAAAACATTTAGGATCGTTTATTATAAAACGTCGTCAATTCTATATTTTTACTGACAAAAAAAATTATATTTCGTCAGCAAATATTACAAAAAATTTTATTGTATCTACCAAAATATATAGTGACGTTATTTAATAAAACGTCGCAAATTGTTATATTTAGCGACGTTTTTTAGAGCGTCGTTAAAATTTTCGTCGGGAAATGACAGATTTCTTGTAGTGACAGCAAGGAGCTGTAAACTGACTAACATTAGGATAAAATCCAAAGGTAACAACGTACATGTGGTTGTGCCGGAGTGGTTATCGAGCATGACTAGAAATTATGTGGGCTTTGCCTGCGCAGGTTTGAATCTTGTTGACCATGTTGTTTATTAGTCGTTATATTGTGGACCGCGGTCAAAACGATGCCGTTAGTTTTAACGGAGCGCGCGTTTTTTTGTATGTTAATTACCAACTGACACTACAGTGTATCTAAACCGACAATGTCTCACGTATTATTTTTATATTATCAAATGAAACTGCAGTTATATCAAAATGATATTGTAGTTGTGGTGAAATGAAATTGCAGTGTATATAAAATGAAACTGAATAACATTTTACATATTTGAGTGTATATTGTACAATGAAGTTCTAATTATATCAAAATGATCATGTAATTGTGTTTTAATAAAACTATAGTGTATATAAAATAAAATTAAATAACATTTTCACATATTTGAGTCTATAAATATCGAATGAAACTGTAGTTATATCGAAATGAAACTGTAGTTGTGTTGAACTGAAACTGCAGTTTATATAAAATGAAACTGAATAATAGAGTTATTTTATTTTATTATTATTATTTTTTTTTGCGGAATGGTGCAGAACGGCGCGAAACGGATGCCGTTTCTTTTCATTAAACAAAACAACGTCGTTTTGATGCGCGGTGCATAATCGATTATGCACCGTGGTTCACGATATAATTTGCCGTTGTTTATAACATATTTGCTGTTTTGTTTTATTTTTATTGATAATAAAAGAATCGAACGTCGTGATTCAATGGGCAAAGCACGGTGACATCTCATCCAATATCTTTTGTTTAGAGACACATTTTAAAGTATTGAATTTTGTTCAGTTTAAAAATCGAGAAACAAAAATTTTATTGTAAATATATATTTTATGGCTATTATTCTATTCTCCAGGATCATGTATTGTATTCTGTTTTGCCTTATATTGGATATGTATTTTTATGGTTATCTAATGAAAATGATAGGTTCTGAGATTTTTTTTTTTTTTTTTTTTTTTTTTTTTTAAAGGGTGGTTCTGAGATTTCTGAGTTAACTTGTTCTTCTTTTTTCTTGTTTTTCTCTTTGATTTAAAAAAAAAAAATTATTTGCTTTCCACCCAAAAAGGCACCGGAGCAACCAATCCAAAAGGGCATGCACGTGTAGAATCAAGAATCATAATTCATAACCAAGATTTTATGGAATAAATTCAATCATACGAGTCAATAGAACAAGATAAATTGTCCGGCATGAAAAGATGATGGCAATTTGGTGGGAAAGAATGTTAACAAGATCGAACTAGTGAAATATACAGGATTCTTCGTCCTCGTAACAAAATTAGGAGGACAAGGAATTCTTGTTCAAAGTCAACTGTACTTCTCAATCTGTTCTCCCAAAACTTAACTATTTTTTTTTTTTTTTCAGACTACGAGTTGTCCTAAGTAGCAATAGTTATGTTGTGGAACCGTGTTGAGCATGCGCATGATGAACACGGGATAGATCCATAATTTCTAATATGTAGATTCATAATTTCTATACTGTAGATTCATAACATCTATACTGTAGATTCATAATTTCTATACCGTACAGTAGATTCATAATTTCTATACTGTAGATTCATAATTTATGTACTGTAGTCTGTTGATTCATAATATATGTACTGCGAATACGAAACAATGCGATTGCGAAAAGAGAAACATCGTTATCAACAAATGAAAAACAAAAATTATGAATCTACCCCTATGTTCACAGCATAATTTTCCCCTAAGTAGGCCCTAACTGTAGGTAGGAGGCACCTTTAACTCAGACTAATTTCCGTTCAACCCATCCAATTAAGGGACAAAGTGCTGACTAGATTGATTTTTCTATACGAGAGTAGGTTCGAACTCCCGACCTCTCTTAAGGGACAAGCTAAGAGTGTATGGCCACTCGCGTCAACCAAACTGGTTACAAAACTTAACTAATTAAATCTTAAAGAGGTGTTTTATTATCTAACATTACCGAGGTGATATAAACTTTGGAATGTCACATTCTCATGTTTGGTTCAAATTATTTTAGTTATGTAAGTTATGTTACTTAACTTTTCCAAGGATGTTTACTTGTTTTACTCATTTTGGAAATTGGCTACCATTGTTGGCCTTATTTGATAATCATCGTTTAGCAGATTGTATTAAAATTTTAGTTAGAGCCTACAGTGCAGCCTAGATGGTTGTTTTCATAACCCTAATATAGAAACACTAGTTTCAACATTGGTTCTATTTTGGTGTTTTGGTATCAAAACGCTAACCAAATTCATTATTTTGGCCCTATTTGGTAAAATATTTAGTCTATAGGTCAATTTTGAGTTATTTGACCACTATTAGTTGTTTGACTTTGTTTAAAAATTAATATAAGTATTTGTTAATTAGTTTTTTGTACTCCAAAATGCTAAAATTCAAAAAAATACCCAACATAACTTTTTCCAATTAACTTTTTGAGAAAAAAAATTATACCAAATAGTTATCATGTTAACAACTAATTTACCAAACACTTTTTACAATAAGCTAATATTATCAACTAATTATATCCTTTAATTAACCCAATCAACTAACATCTAACAGTTATTTACCAAACAGGGCCTACATATTTTAATTAAGTCAAACAACTAAAATGGCCAAATATGCTAATTACGAAATACTTATTTTATGAAGTCAAAATGTTAAACCTGCTAAAGCCACTCATTTTTTGTCAAAACATTATCTACCAAAGAAAAAAAAAAGTTAATATTTATATTCTCGTAATTTTAGCCAAACACAAATGACACAAATTCCTACTAATTCCCAATATTTATATTAAATATTGAGGACGGGTTTTGTATTAAAAAAAAAAAAAAAAAAAAAAAAAAAACCATCTCCATTGAATTCGAGTGAAATTACCATCAATAATTATTCATCTGTAGTCACTCGGTCAGTCCCCAAAAATATTCATTCAATTCCTATCTTCCAGATATATATAGTAATTCCAGATTGACAACCATATATGTGGTCGTGCCGGAGTGGTTATCGGGCATGACTAGAAATTATGTGGGCTTTGCCTGCGCAGGTTCGAATCCTGCCGACCACGCAAATTGCATTACAAAGCATGTAACATGTTTCTTGTCTTATTATTGTCTATTACGGAGTATTAATCAACATTTTAATATCTAAATATCTTGAGTACATGATATGTGATATGGGTATTAATGCACACTGCAAAAAGAAAGAAAGAGCGGATTTTTTTTATTTTTTTATTTTTTTGCAATGTTTTAATTGTCATTATTAACTTTTCCTATCCATAAAAATTGAAAATGTTTTATATTTAAATTTATTTTGATTTGTATGATTTTTTAAAAATAGAAATAAATTAAAATCCTCTGATCTACAACTCTCATCCTAAAATATTCTTTAAACAGATTTCACTTTAAATAGATATCACACAATATTATCAAATTGGTTACTTATTATTTATTAATATAAGGTGGAATGGAAAACATTACATTTGTGAGAAGTTAGGTGCAAAACTTGTTGGAGGCACTGGTAATTTGTTTTTTATTATGTAAAGCTTGATATTAGTATATTGGTTATTATTTATAAAAAATTGGTGGCTAAACTAATTACTTTTAAATATTAATAAAATAAAATATGAGTTGGCATGTCATTAAGTCAATTAAAATTAAATTAATTATTTTTAAATTTGATAGATATATTAACTTGGTCCAAACTGTTAAGGCAAGAGGCATGACGTGAATCCAAGACAAAGCATGGAGATTGAGGGCATACTTTGGGTCGACCGCTTAGGGTGTTAGATTGGCTACGTATGATCTTAGGAGGTCGTGTTGGCTCACAGTACATCCTAAGGTTAGCCATGACATAGGAAGGGAGGTTACAAAGATGCTCAGTTGGCTTCAAGGGTTGACCTCAGCTCCTAGATCAACCAGCATGTTGGTTGGACAAACACCGAGCCTTCTAAAATATTTTATTCGCAGAGAACTGGTTAAAGAGACTAGTATAGTTTAAAAAGTCGTATATATCCTTGTCTTGTTGATGGAACACTCTTTGTCCTATTCTAAAATATGCTTTCCAATATTCAAGCAATTATACAAACATTATTGTCTATTATTCACACCACAAAAATATCAAATATCTTCAAGAAAACTGTCTAGATTGCACCAAACGAAAAGTGTATACCATAGACGAGCTTCAATGGTAATTCAGAACAAAACAACAAGCAAAAATACAAAAATTGTAACTTCGAGAGACACCATATTTAAAAAGGCAATTATTAAAGAAGTGAAAAGACAATAATACCCTGATGCTATTAACATGACTGAAACAATCATCAGCAAACTTCAACTTGTTTACCATTAATAATTGTCAAACAAAAAATAATTGATGTAAACCTCTTTTCTTAGAACTCACAAGATGAAAACGCCTATCAAAATTTATCACATTAGAGAGTTTGAATGAGAGAATAAAATTTGAGATTCTGCATATTTGAACTCATAATGTCCTAATAAATAATATTTTTTTAACAAATAATACTTCAAATCCATAGACTTTTTGACATAATGACATTGTTTACATGATGGTACAAGAATCCCCCAGGGTCATAAGTGCTATCTGAAGTGCTTGGAGGGCAATCTTCCATCTTTCCTGAAAATACAACAACGTACGTAACACATAAGAACAAAGAAAAAAATTGCAAGCAGTTTTAGGTAGGGCTATAAACGAGCCGAGCTCGAGCCTGGGTAGGCTTGAGCTCGTGTTCGTTAATGGAGGCTCGGCTCGAGTTCGAGTATGAGAACTGATGCTCGAGCTCGAGCTCGGTAATTTTCGGACTGCTCGAGCTCGGCTCTAGCAGCTCGATTGTTCGAGTTCGAACTCGAGCTCGATCTTGAGCTCGAGTTCGAACTCGATTTTGACATTGAATTTGACATATTTAATACTTTTGGTTTAAAATTCAAACTACTTTGTTTTATCCATACATAAATAATAGAAATCTTTTAGGGATTTTGAATTTAAAATTCTAATTTCTAATTGTTATTTATATATATTATTATTATATTATATTATATCATTATTATATATATTATATATTATATGGCTCGCGAGCGGCTCGACGAGCCACGAGCCTAGAATATCTAGGCTCGGCTCGTGCTCGATTACCAAACGAGCCGCTCGAGCTCGATATTGACCGAGCTCGAGCCGAGCTTTGACCGAACCGCTCACAAGCGGCTCGCGAGCTGCTCGGCTCATTTACACCCATAGTTTTAGGTAGGGATGTCAATTGGGTCAATCTGTTTGATTTCACGCTAATTTGATTAGACTATCAGACTTATCAGTTTGAGCTAATCAATTTTTTCTTGTCGGATTTAAAATTCTTGACCCTAACTCTAAAACCTTGAGTTGTCGAATTTATTGAATGGACTCAATTAAAATTTTTGATATTTTTAAATTAACATTCTAAAAATTTAATTTTAATATTCCCAAAAAAAAATTAATTTTAATAAACTAGAGCATTTTTATACATCATTTAATCTGACTGATTTTTTATTAAGCTAAATTTTATAGCCTTATGTAATATGTTAGCCAAGAGACTTAAAATTGACATCCCTAATTTGAAGTTACATTGTGAGGAATGAGGAGTACTGTACTTACATATTTAGCTCCCGGAACAGTACGGATATCCCTGCTGTGTGATTCATGGGTGGTCGGACGATGAGTAGACGATGTATTGTTCATATTCATGCAGCCGCCGCCGGAACTTTTCTTAGCGTCCAATAACTGGGCATAATTATCCAGGAACCGGGCGGGCTGCCCTGGGTGGTCATGGCTATACCTCCGATTCCGATAACAAGAAATGCAGAGATTAACGGCGCGGCAGTGAGCGCAGGTGAAAAAGGTGGTCGGAATGAAACTCCCACAGGCGTCGCAGAACGGCCTCCCGCTCCAAACAATGTAAAGGAGCGTGAGGACCTCGGAGAAATCTAAGGAGCCGTCACGGTCGGTGTCGATGAGAGAGAAGAAACTGGGGTTGCTCATGCGGTGGTGGCCTTCTTCTCTCATGAAGGATATGAACTCGGTTTTGTTGATGCGGCCATTTCTGTCGGTGTCGAGGGTTTTGAAGAAGTCCTGGAGTTTGGATTGGATCTCCGACTCGCTGGCTTCGTAGTAAGCTTCCGCTATCTGCCGGAGATGATCCATCCTATCCTAGATTTATTTAGTACACTACGTAGTTTGCCTGGATTTGAGGGCAACTTTAATTTGGATTATATATATATAGGAGCTGAGAAAGATATGAGAACATGGTTCTCTGTAAAAAGCAAAGACTAATATTAATTTCCCATCAGGGCTAATCATTTATCTTTTAGGAATATTTTTGTATAGTAGAACTAAAATGTGAATGTTTTTTTTTTTTTTTTTTTTTCACCAACATACATGAAACTCATGCAAATGAAAATGAATGTATTGGGACGGTTGTGATCAGCAGGGACCGAGCTAGAAATTCAATTGAGGGGGGAAGAAGTAGGAACGGGTTCAGAAAATTTTTTCAAGGCGAAACATTAAAACAAAAGAGATAATTTTAAATAAATAAATAAATAAATTACCTAAGAAATATAGTTGTAAATCTACTATCTACTATCTATTATACTAATAAGAGCCCAAGAGAGTTAGGCCTATAATGGGTAGATCTACTATACTAATAAGAGCCCAAGAGAGTTAGGCCTATAATGGGTAGAAAAAATGGCGGTCACAGATTTTAATCAAATGAATGGCTCAGATTGATTAAAAGATTGATAAGATTTAAATTTTACACTAAAATTTCCTAAAATACCCACACACCGTTACTAATTCCGTTAAAATTTTAAGAATTGCCGTTAGTTCACCATTAACTTACTCATTGATTTCAATAAATAAAAAAAGGGTCTTAGGTTCGAACCTCATCCCAATCAAAGTTGGCATAATTAGTACTCTATTTTACTCTTATTAAATTATATAAATAATAATTTAGTAGCTACAACAAAAAATTATAGATATGCATTTCTTTAATTTAGAATTATGTGTTCACAATGCCTTTATTCAAAAAAAAAATTATTCCTTATCAATAATCAATAAATTAAATAAGAGAAATAATTGTATTAGTTATATTGTCTTTATTTTTCTACAGTATAAAAATTCTTTATATTCAAATTTACTAATTGATTATATTCGCTACATTGTCCTTACAATGTCTTAATTCAGTGAAAAAAAAAATTATTCATTATCAATAAATTAATTAAGAGAAATATTTTTATTAGTTATATTGTCTTTATTTTTCTCAAATGTAAAAATTTTTACATTCAAATTCATCAATTGATTATATTCACTACATTATCTATTATCTTTTTTGTGCACTATTTTTCTAATTAAATATCAAAGTTATAATACAAAATAATGCTATATATTTATTTACCAAGTATTTTATTAATACCATGAAAAAATTTTTAAAAAAATATAATTAATAAAGCCAACAATATTAACTACTTGAGAGATTTTGTGACAAAGAGAGTATTCAAATCACACAACAAATTGAAGTGAGAACTACCTTGCAATGTCCTTGTTTGACAATCAGCATTTAGCGGATTATATTAGCGGATTTGACCAACGAATTTATTTAATTATTAACATTGGGTAGAAAAAATGACCGCCAAATTATTAAATCAAATGAATGGTTCAAATTGTTCAGGTTTTAATTTTTTTAAAATTTTTCTAATTTATCCTTAATTATATGATTATCCATTTAATTTTTCCGTTAAATACCGTTAATTCACCGTTAGTCTAATTCTAATATTAACGTCTAATATAGAATTATAATTACACCATTAGTCTAATTCTAATATTAAAGTCTTAATAGAACTTAACCACAAATCCTAATGTCGAAATCTCCTCAAACAATATTAGTATATATTTAATATTTTATGCCCTAATTTTTATTTGTTGTCCCTTATGTCCCATATTTGGTTTCAACCATACCTATACAGTTATTTTATTGACAATTATAATAAATCTTGACTATATTATCTTGCATTTGTAAACTTAGAATTACCTATTTAACCCGCACGGGCTTAGCTCAATGGTTTAGTGGGCAGTATTTGGGAGAAGAGACCAAGGTTTGAACCTCGGCGGCGGCAGTGCGGGAATTATGTCCAAAGTGGGCAGATTCCTTGTTCGCACCGGCATTTGGTCCTGTCTGCTGAACCATTGAATCACCGTGATTTACAACTTCCCACAATGCTCTGTCGGGTCGGAGTGTGAAGGGGCCCTTGGGGTTGGGGACTCAACATTTGGGAGAAGAATTACCTATTTAAATACGCAAATTCAACCTTCAATTATCTATGCATTAACAATTTCAATATAATCTTGCCTTAATATACTTTAAAGTACTTATTTAAAAAAAAAAAAACATTGGGCATTATCCTAATCGCGCAATGCGCGTAAAAAACTAGTATTGTTAGATATGAGTGAAAAATAAAACACATGGAAACTTTATAAAAATATTTATAACAAAATAAGATTAAAAACAAAAGAGATAATTTTAAATAAATAAATAAATAAATTACTTAAGAAATATAGTTGTAAATATTGTTGGATATGAGCGAAAAATAAAACACATAGAAACTTTATAAAAATATTTATAACAAAATAACATTAAAACAAAAGAGATCATTTCAAATAAATAAATAAATAAATAAATTACCTAAGAAATATAGTTGTAAATATTGTTGGATATTAAAAAAACTGTATCTGTAAAATCATGGTGATACCAAGGATTTGAACACTTAACATTCACTATCATTGCCAAACATGTGTTCTACCACCTAGTCTAACTTATTCTTTATTAATATTAATAGTTTTTTTTTATACTAATACTAAATCATGTACTATATATACATATATACATACAAAAATTATATATGAGGTGGGGGTGAGGCAGGGGCGGAGCCAGGATTTATTCGTGCGGGGGGTCAATCACAAAAGAGAGGATCCAGCCGTCACTGTTCGTAGTCCAAGTTCACCGCGGTTGCCATCATCAACTAAGGAAATGAAAGAGAGGATTTAGGTACCATTTAATTACAATATCTAGATTTTTTGTTGTGGTGAGGATCGATGAATCCATCTCCAATAATGAATAATTCATTTAAAAAATTCAAAGATTTAAAGAATAAAAAAGAAATAAAAAAATTATCTATAGACTTCAGCTTGAAAATTGAAGAGTAATTACATGTATAAGCATACTCTAAAAGCATTTTTGAAAAGAGAAAATATTTTGGTGAGGGGACACAAAATAACTATTATATACTAATACTTTTTTTATTTTCTTTTGGGAGGCCAAACCCCCTGGCTGCTGTTCTATACTAATAAAAAAAGAAAAAAAATTGGGGGGAGGGAGGGGGGGGGGGGGGGGGGGTGGGGCAAGCCCCCCTAGAGCTCAAAGGTGGCTCCGCCACTGGGGTGAGGTGAGGGGAACAGCTGCCCCCCTTTGACTCCGTCCTTGGTTGTGAGATGGTTAGATAGAGTGATCGTCAGTTGACAACCACTCTAACTTTTTGAGATTTTTAATTTTTCATGAATTATTATTCGTCACATGACACAAATCATATAACAAAAATCAAATATTAGCGATCTTGAATTGATCTTATAAGTGATTGAGTTGCATGGATGTAACTAATACAAGTTGAAAGTGATTGGCTCAAGAGTCAAGGGTCGACACTTAGTCTTTTATGCCCAAGAAATACTCACCCTTCCATTATCATATCCTCCTTAATTAACTTGATGCATACGTTCGACTACACCCCCACGCACAAGTTGAAACTTGAAAGCAACTGGTTCAAGACTTAGTCTTTTTTTTTTTTTTTTCAAATTGGACTCTTCTGAGACTATTTCATGGGTCGGATCGATCATATGATCTTAGCAGAGACGAATATCAAAATGGGATGTACCGACATTGCAAAATATGTTCTTTCTCAAAAAGTTTCAAGAACACAATTCAATAGTCACAAACTATTGTTCATTATATTTTTTTGTTTTAAAGAATTTTTTTAAAGTTTTAATTATTTTCAAAGCGATGATCTTGTGTTGAATTCCTGCTCATCGCATGAAGGAGGGAAAGAAGAATGCTTGGTTTCTATATTTCGTAGTAGGTGGGAAGAGTGTGGCCTGTGAATTGAAAACTCTTCTTATAAATCAACTTCCAAACTATGGGTTTCAGTCTCGAAATTACTAATTTGGTCCCGGATTAAGAAACATTTGATGACTAAATTGGTTAAGATTTTTAAGATTGAAGACTTAATTAATTAGCCAAAAATTATAGTCAATTACAAAATTGATAATTTAGTTATATATAGTCAAGGGACCATTTCGATAATTAACTTTTAAAAAAAATTAATATAAATATTGAGAAACGGTATTGAAACAATTTCTCGTCTCCAGGAAATTACCATCCCAAATAAATGAGATAAAACTATAAGAAGTAAGAAACTATTCAAATGTTGTCACTGCATAACGTATAATCATTCGTTCCAAGAAAGTTTATAGATAAATATGTAATGCCTGGAATGTTTTAGCAATTGTGGTCGTGCCGGAGTGGTTATCGGGCATGACTAGAAATCATGTGGGCTCTGCCCGCGCAGGTTCGAATCCTGCCGACCACGATTTTTCTACAAACCATGTTTATTGTCCTTTTTATTATATAGAAAAGAAATTCCAGATTGACTAACGTTGTTGTGGTCGTGCCGGAGTGGTTATCGGGCATGATTAGAAATCATGTGGGCTTTGCCCGCGCAGGTTCGAATCCTGCCGACCACGATTTATGACATTTCTGTTTTTATTGATAGAATCGAACGTCGTGTTTCAGAGGACAAAGGCAAAGGATTTGGTCTCCCTAACTTGAAGCATACGTTCAACCCCACACACTGTGTCGCTGTAACCGGATGGCCGAGCACGCACACGTTACGTTGAAACTCGAAAGTTGAAAGACTCTAAAACGCCTAACCAGATTAATGGTTAGGTAATCGAGATTATAAGTTAGATTTTGAATGGAGATACTTTATGGATCTTCTTGATTTGAGCCAGTCAATTATATGAAATTTAAATTAGTCCTTTGATAGCTATGATCACAAGGCATGATTTACTCCGTGCACACTCGTGAGTAGTGGTGGTGAGTTTTTCTCGTCATAAGAAAAATTGAAAGACTTGGTCAAATATAATTTGGTCGGTTATATGATATTCTCAAAATTAATTTATTTTTAAAATTATGTTAATGTACATTAATTATCTCGACTCATTATCTAACTTTTAGTTTATTTGTCCAACATTAATTGTTTGACCAAGTTAAACACCTAAATTGATTCTTTGATAAACAATTTGTTAGCTTAGCATATTAATGCCAATAAGTTAAAAATGAAAAAGTTATTTGGGTAGCTTTTTGGTATTAGCTAATTGTATTTTTTAAAGTCTAATTTATCCTTAATATTAATAGTTATTGGTTAGGTTTTTATGTTTATTATTCAATTTTTTATTTTAAATTTACATTTTTAATATTGAATTATTTTTATTTAATAAAAACAAAAACGATAGTTAAAATAATAAATAACAACAACGATGAAAATAACAACGGTGGTGAAAATAACAATGGTGGCGAAGACGACGACAACAACAACCATAAAAATTAAAATAAACTTATTTTAATACTTAAACCTAAAACTATAAATAATTTAAGGATAAATGAATCAACACTATTCTTACTATCATACGAAGACATATACGATGATGGAATGAAGTTGTGCTCATAATAAGAGTAGGAAAGTGAAAATGACATAGGACAACTCCAACCAAGTCAGATTATTATTAGTTTGATCAATTTTAAATTTGACTCTTAGTGAAAACTACCTATTGAACATTTTAATTTGAACTGGTAATGTATATGTACACCTTCACGTACGATTGTGAGTTTCTATTTTAAAATCAAGGAATAAGAGTTAAATAGGTCATCGAATTGCACACATCATGTAATTAGATAACTGAACCTAAAAAAAACTACAATTAAATCCCTAACCTAACTAATTTCATGCAATTTATCCAATTTGTAAGTTTTTTTAAGTTTCTAAGAGGTCACCCCAAATTTAAAATATTATTTAAAAATAGTTATTTAGAATAAAAAAAAAAATATTAGCGCAAATCCAGATACAATTGCCAGAAGAGTTCTACTACATGTACTTCCAAATTCTACTCCCTCACTTATACTCCATGACATGGCAAACAAAGATTAGCTATTTTCATCATGTGGGTTCCAGAGAATGTGTCTACATAAAAAATTTGTAAGATTACAAGTTAGGAGTAAGAAATGAGAGTGCACGTAGTATTTTCCTTGCCTGAAAGCCTATCAACACCCACACCACAACAGCCATCAGCGCCGGTTCCGCCGCACTCTCATCAACCGCAAGGAGAAATGGGAAAACATTAATTATTTTTAAATAACTGTTTTTAAAAAATATTTTAAATTTGGTGTGACTTGTTAGAAACTTGAAAAACATGTAAATTAGATTAATTGCATTATGGTGTGTACTTCGATAACTTATTTGACCTTTATTCCTAAAATCAATTACTTTGTACTAAATTAGGTATTAATTCAATGTTTAAGAGCGTACTTTCAGAATCATACAAATACACAATAAAAGACTTTAAAAAAAGTGCACAATAAGAGCATATATATGAACTTTTATCCTTACAACCAGAGGACGATCAACAACGTAACAACATCCAAAACAAAAACAACCAACAATAATTTAAACCATATATACTACAAAATAAAAAATAAAATCCCAACAACAACCTACTCAAATAATGGAGCAACAATAATAACCATCACACATTAAACGAAATTCACCAAAGACACATTATCATAGGTAGCACGGACACGTTTTGATGTTGGTCACATGATGCTACAATTATTTCCAACGTGAAGTGCTATCTGCAATGCTTTGAGAGCAAGCTTCCGTTTCCTCTGAAAATACAACACCAAATTAAACCTTTAATCAACAACCTAACACTTGAGAAAAACAACAAGGATTGACAATAAAGTCTAGTTTTTTTTTTTCTTTATTTTATTTTTATTTTGAAAAAAAAGGTACTTTTAACTCCTGAATTATATTATATATTGCTTCAGTTTTGAAACGTTGATTCCCTATAAGTAAATTTAAATTAGCTCCTTAATTGTTTAAAATGTTACACTTTTAATCCTTAGTACGTGTTATATAGTATATAATTGTCAAACTCCATTAGCATATGTGGTTATTTTTATCATTTAGAATCAATATTCGAATATTGATCCTAAATGACAAAAATAACCTCATAAAAAGAGTTTAATTATATAACATGATATGGACTGAAAGTGCAATATAATAGATAATTAAGTGATTAAATTTGTTTAAATCAATTGACACGGACAACCAAAAAATGTCCGAAAGCTAGTGAAATAATTCAGACGCCAAAAGTGTTGTTTTTCCTTTATTATTATTATTTTTTACATCCAAGTTTTATTTAAAGGACCAAAAAAAAAAATAGAAAAAAAAAAGAGCTAAGTCAAAAGGATTTTAGGTTGTAAGGTGTGGCGTGGAGTAACTCTAGGTTATAAGTTCAAGCAGTATTAACTCTTTGTGCTTCACTAGGTTAAGAGAGTATATGTAACAGATACTACATCGTAACAGAGACACTATAGTACTTTAAAATAAAAAAAAAAATAAAAAAAAAAAAAAAGGCGGTAAGGAGTAGTAACGTACAAATTTTTTTGCTGGAACATTTGCTGCAACAATGGCATGCATAGCGGTGTATGACTCATCATCATCATCATCATCGTATGTGGAAACTGAATGGTGAGATACGATGTTTACATCCTCAGTCTCTTCTTCTTCATTCATCTCTGCTCTCTTCTTAACCGCCAAGAGAGCATAATTATCCATGAATTGGTGATTATGCCCAGACTTGCCATTCTCATAACAAGAAATGCAGAGATCATAGTTGGGGCACTGAAGGCAGGTGAAAAAAGTGGCCGGAATGAATCGCCCACACCCATCGCAGAACGGCCTCCCGCTCTTAAAAATATACAGAAGGGTCATGACTTCCCAGAAATCCAACGTGTGGTTGCCGTCGGTGTCGAGCTCGTTGAAGAATCTCTTGGTGCTCATGCATTGGTAGCCCTGTTCGGTCATGAAGGTCAAGAACTCGTTCTTGTCGACGCGGCCATCTCCGTCGTTGTCGAGGCTGTTGAACAGCTCCTGGGCTTCGTTTTTCAGCTCCGGCGAGCCTGCTCGGTAGTAGGCTTTGGCTAACTTGTGGAGTTCATCCATTTTGAACAATAATGAAGCTAAGATAAGTGCAGCAATATCAAAGATGGGGTTTATATTACAGTAGAGTAGAAGAAGAAGAACTGGGTTTCAGGCCTTCAGCTAGTGCATGCAACTTGCACCGGTGCCATTTATGGATGATATTTATTAAAACAACTAACATCCAGATAAGCATTTGCATGTAATATATGGTTGACTATAAACTATAAAGTCGTCTGTGGACTATGGTCTATGGCGTTTTGTGCTGCACAGCCTTTTAATTATTTTACACAAATATTAGCTTTATTTGAGGTATAATATATATTGACTTGGTCTACTTTTAATTTGGATCGGGTCAAAATATATTTAGATTTTTTAAGTGAGGAGATGAATTTGATATATTTTATGTTCACAGTAATCAGAATAGATAATGGGTGAATTGAATATAAACTTAATATATGAGACATGTTATTCAGTTTCATTTTATACATACTGAAGTTTCATTTTAACACAATTAAAGTATCATTTCAATTCAATTACAGTTTCATTTGATAATATATGCTGGACAAATCATTCAGTTTCATTTTAGATACACGTACTGTAATTTAATTTCATAATGTTATTGACAGGATAATAGGGCTGGCACCCGACCCGGATCACAAATGGGCGTTGACTCAGCATCACATGGGAACCCAACGGGCAGAACTCCAACGGTCAGGAATTCCAACAGGTGCCACTTTACTACCATTGAAGCCAGCATTGAAGTCCCCATTGATGAGAGAGAGTTAAAGGCTAGGCTCCCCATTTATATCCCATGTTGTTACCGTTAGGACTCTAAGTATAAATGGGGCTCCCCTCAGCTAGCAATGGACACACTGTACTTTCTATACTGAGACAAAAGGCAATACAACTATTGTTACTTTCTTATAGCACCTATTACCGGTAACGTTATTACCGTCATTGGTGCTTTCATTGAGAGCCTGAGTCCAATACTCAAGCAGGCTACAACACAACTCTTTTTCTCTTTCAACAGCAAGCTTGAAAGAATGGCGTCCCGCAGCTCCCACGGTTCTCGCAACGTGAACAATGGCAACGCCTCAGGTGACCTCCGTGACCTACTCACCAACAATCGCGGAGGGGACCTCCGAGAACATCTCAACAACGGGAGGCCCGGGGACCTTCGAGATCAACTCAACAATGGAGGAGACCTCCGAGACCAACCCCACAATGGAGGGGCGAACCAAGTCATGAGCCTCCAGGCAACCATTCAGCAAGCAGTGACGGCGGCACTAAACCAAGTGGCGGTGGGACTGCAAGGCCAAGTGCCCCCGCCGCGGCCTCGGGAAATAGAGGTAGAATCCCCACGGAGAGTGGATGCCCAGGACGCAACCCGTGTCGCGAGGGACGCAGGGCGTCGCACTAGGACTAGGGGCCCCGGAGAGGGCACCCAAAGAAGCGGACCGGCCGGACGGCAACCTAGGCCCTCTCGCTCTGCCTTAGAACAGTTGGGACACGGGGCGCCCGCTCGGCAAAGGCCGGAATCGCGTGCCGAGGGGTCTTCCGCTAGAGGCCCTCGCCGAAACGAGGAAAGAGAAGCTGAAAGATCGCCCACAGAAAGGATGGGCGAGTCTCATGGGCCGGCCCCGCGCCGGCACGATAACGAGTCGGCCCCGCGTCGGCACTCGGCGGAGCGACGCGTTGATGAGCCGGCTCCGCGTCGGCACTCAGCGGGCGAACGACGCGTTGGTGAGCGAGTTCCACCCCGACACCTAGAGGGACGAAACGTCGAGGAACCAGCTCCGCGTCGACACTCAGATGGACGGCGCGCCGATGAACTAGCCCCACACATGGAGGAGCGGCATCCGGCCCCGCGCCGGCACCCTGACGAGTCGGCCCTAGTCAAAAGGCTGCAAAGAAGGATCGAGGAGCTAGCAAGAAGGGTGGAGGCACGGGAGCAGTCGCCGGAACCCGAGGTACGAATGGCAGCACCATTCTCCCCAAGTATCATAGATGTACCTCTGCCGAGGGACTTCAGGTTACCCGCCATCAAGGCGTACACGGGAGCCACGGACCCACGTGTCCACATGACTTGGTACAAGGCCACTATGGTAATGATTGGGGTAGGGGACGCCATCATGTGCCGAGCATTTTTGTCCACCCTAGATGGAACGGCCCAAGATTGGTTCAACACCATCCCGGACGGGTCGATCCAAAACTTTGGAGAGTTGTCCAAAAGCTTCCTAACGTACTTCTCGGGTAGCATACAGCGTAAGAAATCGTTCCCTCACCTCTGTGTGGTAAAGCAAGATAGAGGCGAGAGCCTCAAAGACTTCCTGATCAAGTGGAAAAAGGAAGTCAATAATGTCTACGACTTCGACTCCAAGGCGGCGATCCCGATATTCATCCACGCCTTGAGATCGGGGTATTTTCACAAGCAGCTGAACGCCCACCACCTTCGTTCTTACGAAGATTTGATGAGGACGGCTAGCCGCTATGCCGAGGCAGAGGACGTCGACAGGAAAAAGAAAGATGAGGAGGACGGCAGGAAAAATGGGAAACCTGGGAAAGCTGGTCCGTCCAGCCAAGCACCGCGTTCGAACCACCCGGCCGCAGGGAAAGGCCGGGACCATGAACGGCCTCGCCTGGTTCCCCTGCGTAACCTAACTCCTCTTACCCATCCCGTCAGCGTCATCCTAAAACAGGCTGAGGAGATGGGAATAATCGAGTTCCCACCAGAGTGCATGAAGGTCTCCCCAAAAGGAGACCAAGCAAAGTACTGCAGGTTCCATAGGCAACCCGGGCACGACACGGATGAATGTAACGTACTGAAGAGACAAGTAGAAGAACTCATCCAGCAGGGCTACTTCCGGCATTTCTTCAAGTGATCCAAGCAGCAGCAACAGCCGCAGCGCGATCCATCAGCCGTTGGGGAGCTTCCTACGGAATACTAACAGCTCCGCCAGGATGGCACGATGGGCCATGCACCTCAGTCAGTTTGACATAGATTTCAAACCAAGGCCCGCCATCAAAGGCCAAGCTCTCGCAGACTTTATAGTGGAGTGCACAGCTCGGGAAGTGACGGACCAGGTAGAAACTGAAGATGGAGGGTGGTGGACCTTGTCCACAGACGGCTCTTCAAACAGCAAAGGTTGCGGCGGTGGCGTAGTGCTCGTCACTCCGGAGGGATTCCGCGCCTACTATGCCATCCGATTCCACTTCAAATTATCTAACAATGAGGCAGAGTACGAGGCCCTCCTCAATGGACTGCGATTGGCGGCGGGACTACGAGCTGAGAAGGTCCGAATTCGATGCGTTTCCAAGCTGGTGGTAAACCAGGTGTCTGGGGAGTATGAAGCCAACGAAGGAAGCATGCAGAAATACAGAGACGCGGTGTTGAGAACCCTGCGCGAGTTTGAGGGATATGAGATACACCAGGTGCTTAGAGAGCAGAACGCCGACGCCGACATGCTCTCAAAGCTAAGTACCGGAGTCCCCAGCCACATTAGGAAGATCGCTCGACTAGAAGACCTCGAGACTTCAAGTATCGACGTTTCGTGGGTCTTCCCTGTGCAGATTAGGGATCCATGTTGGATTGATCATATCAAACGATACAAGGCAGACGGCGCCCTACCGCAAGACAAGGCAGACGCAAAGGTAACGAAGTTACGGGCACCCAGCTATGTTGTCTCGGGCGATAAACTGTACAAATGCTCCTACAACGGCACGTTACTGAGGTGTCTATATCCAGATGAAGCGAAGTTGGTGATAAAAGAAGTCCACGAGGGGGTATGCTCCGCGCACCAAGGGGCGTACACCATCGCACGCCGCATCATGTTACAAGGGTATTTTTGGCCCAAAATGCTAAGGGACTGCGCCGAGTATACAAAGCGATGTCCCAAGTGCCAAGAATTCCAAGCACTGCCGGGTCGACCTGCGACGAACTACACCCCGGTAAGCACCGCGATTCCTTTTTCGAGATGGGGAATTGACCTGGTAGGAGCCCTTCCCACGGGGACTGGAAGCAGGAAGTACATCATTGTGGCCATCGACTATTTCACGAAATGGGTGGAGGCCGAGCCCCTGGCAAGCATCACCGCAGCAAGGTGTAAAAGGTTCGTCGAGAAAAACATCCTGTATCGTTTCGGTATCCTTATCCAGGTAATCACAGACAATGGCCGTCAGTTCGAGGCACGAGAATTTTCAGAATTCTTAGCAGGATGGGGCGTTAAGCATAGCCGGGTGGCGGTATCTTATCCTCAAGCGAATGGGCAAGTGGAGAATGCGAATAGAACCATCCTCGACGGCCTCAAGAAAAAGCTAGAAGTGGCTGGCGGAGCCTGGGTGGAGGAACTCGACGGCATCCTCTGGGCCTATCGCACGACACCAAGAAGGGCCACCGGAGAAACCCCGTTCGCACTCGCCTATGGATTTGAAGCTCGGGCCCCGGTGGAAGTAATCATACCTAGTAGAAGGGTGGAGGAATTCGAGTCAGAACAAAATGAACTCCACCAAAGGGTGGATCTGAACTTCTTGGATGAAAAGAGAGAGGCGGCATTCTGCAAGATGGAAAACTACGGTCGTCAACTAAAGTCCTACCACGACGCAAAAGTCCGACCCCGGTACTTCCAAGTCGGCGACCTTGTGCTGCGAAAAAGGGAAGCCAGCCAACCCCTTGAAGGGGGAAAATTCGCAAAAAAGTGGGAGGGGCCTTATGTCGTGGAGGAAGTCGTTCGCCTAGGGACATACAAGTTAAAAACTACAGGGGGAAGAATGATCGATTGGGTATGGAACTCGGAACATTTGATCAAGTACTTTCCTTAAAAATCCTGTAACAGCAATCATCAGAACTAGTGCATGGCAATCGCGGTCCGTTCGTCCATGTTACTTAATAAAACAAGATCGTTATCATCTTTTACAAAATTTTCTGAAATAATATCTCGTGCTCGTGGTCCGCCCATGTTTTTTTTTTTTTTTTAAAAGATAATAATAATAATAATAATAATAATAATAATAATAATAATAATAATAATAATAATAATAATAATAATAATAATAATAATAATAATAATAATAATAAATGGCTGAGGCCGCGCCTCGGCCAAGTGGCCAAGGCGACGCCTCGGCCTGTGGCCGAGGCCGCGCCTCGACCAAGTGGCTGAGGCGCACACCTCGGCCACGTTCGTCTCGGCAAAAAAAAAAAAAAAATTATAACAACATGTTTATTCCGAAGTAACTAGTTTATTTCGAATATTCTAAAAATAATAGCAAGTTGTTCAAAAACAGGAAGCAAATTGTTCAGCGACATAACCAGAAAGCAAGGGAAAATCTCAAAGACTACGAACTACTCATGATCCGAGAGCTCCTCAATCATAATCTGATCCAGTGGAACATTGGGGATGTTGCTAGTGTCAATGCCGTGAAACTCGTCCACCAACGAATCCTCACGAGCGTCCGTGACATCATCAGTGGATTCATTCTCAGCATCAGGATCCGGATTCTTCTCTATCACAGGCAAGCCAAGGGACACGGGGTCAAAATTTGGAACATTCTCCCTCAGCACTGAAAAGATCTCCTGTTGCTTCGTGTACCGCCCAATATTAAAAGCCACATGTGCCTCAGCCTCAACCGCCTCTTGGCCAGCCCTAGTCTTGAGGAACTCTCGGATAGCCTCAGGAATGCACATATAGTGCATCGCGTCCTCCCTAAACTCGGCGGAACTCTTATAGACCTCCACAGCCCGGCCGAGGGCGTCGGCATGGCCAGCACGGGTCCTCTCGTGGTCCTCCCGCTCCTTCACGATGGCAAGTTTAGCCGCTCCGTGCTCCTCAGCGCCCCGAGCTCGCCTTCCATCTTGCTCAAGGCCCCTTCCCGGATCGATAGCAGGTCCTTGAGGCTCTTGTTGTCCGCGTCCCTAATTTTAACATCCTCAAGGAGCGAGTCCATCACCCGCCCTCGTTGGGCATGAATGATCTGTCCCTCTAGCAGGGCCTGAAAGTAAACAGAGTAAGACACACGCCAGGGCAGAGAGGGAACATTAAGTATGAAAACACTAACCTCAAAACTGTGCCTGAGATAACGCTCTTGCAGCATGTTGACATCCATGGCTACAAGGTGTTCCAAGTCCGCAGGAGGAGCGATACGGGCAGCATACTCAACCGCATCAAGACTTTTATTTATTAACGACGCTCCGGGTGGCACGTCCATTCCCAGTCGAATCAAATTGGTCCGAACACGCGAGCCGGACTCAGTAGAAGTATCTCCTTACACCTTGGGGGGTTGAGGGGAAAAAGTAACGGCCGTGGGCGTCCGAGTCGATGGAGGCTGCGTCACCCCCTCGTCAACCTCGGTTGGAGTAGGCACACGCACCTTCGGGGCGACCTTTTTTGGGGTAGGCGTACGCTCAACGTCCTTGGATGGAGTTGGCGTGCGTGCCGGCGGAGGCGGCATCACCTCCGTGGCCTCGGCTTGACTCTTCTTTCCTTTCTCCACCTTGCTCTTCTTAGAGGAGGGATCCGGTCGCGACAAGTATCGGCTAGTCCTCGAAGATGAAGACATGGTACCTGCAATAAAAAGAAGACAAGTTAGAGTTAGTGGTTGACGAATAAAATACTGAGTGGTAACTAAAGAGTACCCGTGGGCGAAAGAACAGCCGGATGAGTCCTCACGAAGCCTAATCCCGCGCGCTTCCACTCGGTAGTATAATCAACGATCGATAAGAGACCATCCCCCAGTAAATCATCTACATCTCGGCAGAGGGAGGGACTCATGTCAAGAGTAGGAGGGCAACGTAAATGGGATCCCCACGTAACACGAAAAGGAAACGGACGACTCACAAGAGTGACAAAGACATATTTGGGTTTCCAATCCTTGTTATAAGTAGGACGGTCCTCAAAGAGTTTGAAATGTGGCCTGCTCGAAATCTGGACGAATCCCTTACCCTCTGAGAAGCCCTACCAACTATGAAAAGAGCCTGGAAAAGATCTAGCATGGGTTCTATCCCTTTGTCCTTACATATAGCAAGAAAGCCCGCAATTACCTGGTGACCATTGGGAACTAGCTGGCCGGGGACTATCTCATAGTGGTTCATAAAATCTACCACAAACATATGGAGGGGAAATCGCAGCCCAACCTGTAGCGACAGAAGGTGGACCCCAAAATACTTATCCGAGGGTGGGTCGGTGATATTACCCCGAGGGTTAGGAGGGAGAGTCAGAACGCCAGGACTAAGGAGACCTCTAATATCATCCCAATCCCGTTCCCCTAATTGAGGCTGTATGGACAAGACAAGGGACTTATCAAGAACAGAATAGGAGGCCTTGCGTTTTTTCTTCTTTTTCATTTGGGGCTTAGGTGTTGGCGAGTCAGCAACAAATGGAAGAGGGGGAAAATTTTCAAACAGAGGGGAATCATCATATTCCTCATCAAAATCAAGTTCTCCAACATCAATCAAGGGAGTGACATCCATTATGAAGCCAAAGACACTAAACTCACCTCGGTTACGGATGACTTGGGTACAAAAACTGCCTGTCAGGAAAAGAGCGTGTCAAAAAAAAAAAAAAAAAAAAAAAAAAAAAAAAAAAAAGAGGCCGAGGCACACGCCTCAGCCCCTGGTCGAGGTCGCGCCTCGGCCCCTGGTCGAGGTCGCGCCTCGGCCCCTGGTCGAGGCCACGCCTCGGCCAAGTGGCTGAGGCGACGCCGCCCCTCACACAAGTGGCTGAGGCGACGCCTCGGCCGATTGAGGCCACAGGCTGAGGCAGCGCCTCGGCCCCGATCAAAAAAAAATAAAAATAAAAATAAAAAATAAAAAATAAAAAAAATAAAATGGCTGAAGCCGCCCCTCAGCCAAGGCCGAGGCACAGGCCTCAGCCCCTAGTCGAGGTCGCGCCTCGGCCAAGTAGCCAAGGCACACGCCTCGGCCCCTGGTCGAGGCCGCGCCTCGGCCAAGTGGTTGAGGCGACGCCTCGGCCACAGGCCAAGGCAGCGCCTCGGCCCCGATCGAGAAAAAAAAAAAAAAAAAAAAAAAAAAAAAAAGGCCGAGGCACACACCTCGGCCCCTGGTCGAGGCCGCGCCTCGGCCCCGATCAAAAAAGAAAAAAAAAGGGGAGCAAGTATATTCATACATGCATAAATACGTTGTAAAATAAATTGCAAAATAATAATGACAGCGAAGACTTACAGAACTGTGGCAGAAAGTTGTTGAAGAAGTGCTCTCAAATTGCTCAGAGAGACAGGGGTTTATATTGGAGAGGAGCTTGAGATTAAAAAGTTAAGTGAAGCAGGAAAGGATTGGGAAAGCACAAATCGGGGATTTGGAAGGCAAGTTAGGGATTTGGAAAACAAAACCAAATATCCTAAATCAAGCAGAATTCTACACAGGATCAAATAAAATATCCTAAATCAAGAGAATTCTACACAAGATCAAAATAGATTCAGCTTTACTCCCAAGTCAACTCAAACACATCCGTTGACTCATGAGTAGGGGGGACTTGTGACAGGATAATAGGGCTGGCACCCGACCCGGATCACAAATGGGCATTGACTCAGCATCACATGGGAACCCAACGGGCAGAACTCCAACGGTCAGGAATTCCAACAGGTGCCACTTTACTACCATTGAAGCCAACATTGAAGTCCCCATTGATGAGAGAGAGTTAAAGGCTAGGCTCCCCATTTATATCCCATGTTGTTACCGTTAGGACTCTAACAGCACGTTTGGTTCACGGAATGAATTTGGAGGGAATAGGAATGCTATTTCACATGGAATGGAATAGGTAAGGAATAGAATATGAATTGTATTCTGTTGTTTGGTTGGCTGAAGGAATAAACTTTAGTAATTGTATTCCAATGTTTGGTTGGTTAAAGGAATAGAAATGGAATAGGTTTTAAAGACATAAGTACCCTTATACATCATAATAATAATAATAATAATAATAATAATAATAATAATAATAATAATAATAATAATAATAATAATAACAACAACAACAACAATAATAATAATGAATATGATTATTTATTTTTATTTATATTTGTATTTATATACATGTGTGTGTGAGAGAATAATAATAATAATAATAATAATAATAATAATAATAATAATAATAATAATAATAATTATTATTATTATTATTATTATTATTATTATTATTATTATTATTATTATTATTATTATTATTATTATACAAATACATATTTATTTTTATATTTATTTTCTCACTTATCCCACATCGGTTGGAGAAGTAAGGAATGGAGCCTTGAGGCTCCTATAAAAGGAGCCTCAAGGCTCCATAATTTCAATTGCAATGCTCATCCGCTAGGCAAGCTTGCAATGCCCATCCGCTAGGCATGCAGATGAGCAGACTACTTAATTTAAGAGCCAAGGCTCCATAATTAAAGGAGTCTTATACAGTTATTTTATAGTCCTGCTAAAACGTTCTTTGTATGGATTGAAACAAGCTCATAGGGCTAGGTTTAATCGCCTAAACACGTTTCTACTATTGGTTGAGTTTAAAGCATCAAAGACAGATGTCTCTCTATTTCATTACTCGCGGGACTCTACATCTATGTATTTATTGGTTTATGTTGATGATATACTTGTTATGGGGAGTGATCAAAGTTTGGTGAATAATTTGTTGTCTAAACTATCTATTGCATTTAAGATCCGGGATCTGGGTGAACCTGGCTTCTTTCTTGATATTGAAACGATTAAATGTGATGATGGAATTATGCTTTCTCAGAAAAGGTACATGACAAATATTCTAAAATGAGCAGGTATGGCAGAATGCAAGCCTCTAACTACTCCCTTTCATGTCTCGAAATCTGTCATTTTCAATGCAAATTTGTATGACGATCCTACATAGTACATGAGTCTGGCTGGAGCGCTGCAGTACCTCACGATTATTAAACCTGACCTGTCTTTTGCAGTAAATCAGCTTTGTCAACACATGCATGCTCCTACAACATCACATTGGGAGCAACTAAAATGTGTAGTTGAGGTATATTAAAGGGACAATTGATTTTAGTTTGCGTATAAGAAAGTCAGTGTCAAGAGAACTTCATGCTTTTTTCTAAATCTGATTGGGTTGGTTGTCCTGTAAATCTACTAGTGGTTATGCTGTATTTCTCGGATCTAATATTGTGTCTTGGGTATGTAAGAAACAAAGAACTGTTGCTAGATCTTCTCTAGCATATGTTTGTGCTGAAGTAATATGGATTCTTTCACTGTTACGTGAGATCAATGTGCCAGGTATTCCTGTTCCTAAGTTATGGTGTGATAATCTTGGTGTTACATATATGTGTGCAAATCCTATGTTTCATGCTCGCACCAAGCACGTAGAGATTGATTATCACTTTGTTAGAGATAGAGTTGCTTCTGGAGATATTCAAGTCAACTTTATTTTAAACAAAGATCAACTTGCTGACATCTTTAGTAAAGCTTTACCTGACCCTAGATTTTATTTTCTTAGAGACAAGCTACACTAGATTTTATTTTCTTAGAGACAAGCTACACTAGATTTTATTTTCTTAGAGACAAGCTACATGTTACTAGCTTACCTTGTGCTTGAGAGTGAGTATTAGGATTCTATGTATTTGAGTTAGATTATGACTCTTTATTTTAGTCTCCTTATGATTCTCTTAATATATATATTCCAGTATTGTGTATCTTTGTAATGAGTTTCATTCAATAAAATTCATTCTGTTCTCATCGTTACGTTGGTTTCGTGCAACAATTATTTCCAACTTCAAGTGCTGCCTGTAAAATGCTTTGAGAGCAAACATCCGTTTCCTCTGAAAATACAACACCAAATTAAAGGTTTAATCAACAACACTTAGGTTGTGAGGAATACTTGCATATTTTCCTGCTGGAACAATCGGACGCACAAAAGCTAAGAGTGCATAATAAGAGCATATGAACTTTTATCCTTACAACGGACGATTAACAACATCCAAAAACACAAATAACCAACAAGAATTCAAACCATACTACAAAAATAAAAAATCAAATCCGATTTCAACAACAACCGAAATTCACCAAAGACACATCACGGAAATTATTATGAAATATATAAATCTAGATCGTAGGTAGCACACGGACACGTTTTGATGTTATGTTGGTTACATCGTGTTACAATTAGTTGCAACTTCAAGTGTTGCCTGTAATGCTTTGAGAGCGAACATCCGTTTCCTCTGAAAATACAACACCAAATTAAATAACTTTAGTCAAGTCTATCAACGGAAGGTGTATATTAAATAGCAATGAAGCATGTAACCCACGACCTTTGATCTGGCTCTGATACCAAATTGAAGCATGTGTTCATCTCAATTAAAAATCTAAGTTGATAGTTGGATTGCACATTAACGGTTATATGTTCAACAGTAAGAGTAGGGTAAGAGTAGCAACTTACATATTTTTCTGCAGGAACAATGCCACGCATAGCGGTGTATGATTCCGACTGATCATCATCATCAGTCACTTGGTTCACGTCTGATCTTTTCTTAACTACCGCCAAGAGAGCATAACTATCCATGAATGGGTGATTGTGCCCAGATTTGCCATTCCCATAACAAGAAATGCAGAGGTCATAGTTGGGGCACTGAAGGCAGGTGAAATAAGTGGCCGGAATGAATCTCCCACAGCCATCGCAGAAGGGCCTCCCGCTCTTAAAAATGTAGAGGAGGGTCATGACTTCCCAGAAATCCAACGTGTGGTTGCCGTCGGTGTCGAGCTCGTTGAAGAATCTCTGGGTGTTCATGTAGCGGTAGCCCTGTTGGGTCATGAAGGATAAGAACTCGTTTTTGTCGACGCGGCCGTCTCCGTCGTTGTCGAGGCTGTTGAACAGCTCCCGGGCTTCGTTTTTTAGCTCCGGCGAGCCTGCTTGGTAGTAGGCTTTGGCTAACTGGTGGAGTTCATCCATCTTAATTGCTTGAACAATATAATTAAGCTACGTACAGGCACAGCAATATCAAAGCTAGAATTTGTATTACAGTAGAAGAAGAAGAACTGGGTTTCAGTGCAACTTTCAACGGTTCCATGGATGCCATTTATAAAGACAAGATCCAAATTAAATAAGTAAATACCAGGCGGCGGATCTAAAAATTTTGGGGCGAGAGAAAAATAAAATGAAACACTTATAAGCTGATCGATAAGTATTGCTGACTAAGTATAAACAAGAATATAGGCTAATCCATAAGTATTGTTGACTAAGTATAAAAAAAAAAAAAACATTAAAACACAATAAAAATTATTCAAAACAAAACTAACATAGTTCAAATAGAAATTACATTGGTCATGTTTGGTAAAATGATTGTTAGCTGATTGTGTTAATTAAAAGGTATAAATAGTTGATAACATTAGCTGATTATAGAAAAGTGTTTGGTAAATTAGCTGTTAGCTGATAGCTATTTGGTATAATTTATTTTCTCAAAAAACTAATTGAAAAAATTGTTTGGAGTAACTTTTTGAATTTTAGCCTTTTTGAAGTTGAAAAAAGCTAATTAACCAAACATTTATTTTGATATTTTAACTAAATCAAACAATTAATAGTAACCAAATAAGTTAAAATTGGCCTATAGGCCAATTTTTTACCAAACAGGGCCATTATAAATATTTCTTCTCACTATTAATATTTAAAAGAAAACGAAATGTTACATATAAAGAATTCAATCAGAATTAAAAATTAATCTCATAAATCACATTTATAATCTCACTATTAAATAAATATTAATATATTTAAAAATGTCACAAATAAAATTCAGAAAATCAATACCAACCCTAAATTTTGAACAAGGACATTTCACACACTAACAAAGACCTAACCATCTATACTAACCCATCTTTTGGTAAAATATTTGTACACCTAATATTTATACATATTTAGTTTGTATATATATATATATATATATATATATATATATATATATATATATATATATATATATAAGGGGTTTATATATACAATATATATAAAGAGATGGGGTGGAGAGGGGGGCAGCTGCCCCCCACTACCCCATTGTGGATCCACTCATGGAATATATTTGCATGGTTGACTATAAATTAAAATCGTCTATTATGGAGGATGGCTTTTAATTATTTTACACAAATTAGCTAAAAATAACAAGTTGGCAAGTTGCAAGAAGTGAAGAAGATACGTGTACAAGTTGAATTGGTGAAGGTAGTCCTTCTAGGAATCTACGGACTATGGAGTTTTGCGCTGCAGAGTCTTTTGCTTATTAGTCTTCTTTGAGTAGCGCAATTATGGATGCATATGTACAACTTTGGCAAGCATAACTGCATAAGTCTTGGTCTTTTTTATTTATTATTTTTTATTATGACAAGATCCAAATAAGTCCTGCTCAAGGTAGTACTGCTAGGAATTGAAGGACCCTAATTTAATCCAAAATTTATTATAATATGATTAAATTATAGACTTTGAGTCTGAGTCTAGAGGCGGTATAAATATTTTTAATTACTCTCACGCATGCTTGTCTGGGTATATTTATCTTGATTTTTATAGATTTTTCTGAACTTAATACATTCAAACTTTTATAAGAAGTATTTAAAAGTTGAACATACAGTATCTTATTAAATTTATTTCAAGAATCTTTATAAGTTGTGTGGTGTTCAATTCAGACTTTTAAGAGTTTTTAACGAGTAGTATTAAAAAGTTATAAATTTTTATAGAGTTTTTATATTAGGACTTTGTAGACTTTAATTTTTCCCCTCAAATATAAATAGTTGAAATTTATTCATCAACCTCATATTTCTAAACTTTCAATTCATTCTACCAACTATGAATGTCCTCTCTATTTAAATTCTATTTATTTTTCTTCCTATTTAAACTTTTCAAACTTTATACCTAGCTAAATTCATCAACAAATTATTTTTCTTCATTATCATATATTTTTCATGTCTAAACTCAACAAACGTTTTCTCTCTCCTAAATTTTATAAACTTTTTCTTCGTCTAAAAATTTTATAGATAATTATTTTCTTCATTATTGTTTGTATCTTCCCAATAGAAGATACTAATAATAGGTAAACACATAGTTAAGTATTATGTTTTGAGTATTTTATTATTTTTGTTGTAATATTATATCATTTAGAGAAAAGTAATATTGCCTTTAATTTAAATTATTTATAATAGATTGTTTGTGTGTTAATCAAATTTGAATTTTATTTAATTGCAATAAATAAATTTATATAATATCTATCAAAGTATATAATATATTATAAAAGTTTTTAAAGAAAATTAAAATATAAATAATAAGTATTAATAGAAATTAATGTCCACCAAAGACAATTGTCCTAACAAAATGAATTTTTAATTCCTACCCTAAAATGGTATTGTCTTTAAATTTATAATATACTCTATTTTTGTGGCACCCAAACTTAATTTTTTAATTGTAATACATAAATTTATTTAAGATCTTTAAAAATACATGATATATCACAAAAGTTCTTGTAATAAAATTATAAATAATAAGCATTAATATAACTCAGTGAAAATTTGTAAGGATGTATTCATTTTAGAGTATTAATGATTTTTATAAATTTTTTAAAATAAAAAATTTGTAAAAATTAACAAAATAAATGTTATAAGTGTTTGTAATATAAAACTTTTATGACTCATTGACTCGTATCAAATTTTTAAAAATCTGAAATGATTCAGTTGTTTAAAATTTATAAAAATTCATCATTTTAAAAAATTGATAGGAAGCTTTGGCTAACTGTTGAAGTTGATCCATCTTACTTTGATGACTTGAACAATTAAGCTACGTACAGCAATATATATATATATATATATATATATATATATATATATATATATATATATATATATATATATATATATATATATATATATATATATATATAGAGTTGCACTCGGGTGCGAACGGCTCGCCCAGGCGCGAAATAGGAATGGATTCTGTTCGTCCACGTGTCCAGATCTAATGGATGAGAAACACTGATTTTTTTAAAAAATGCGGTGGCATTTTCGTAAATAATTGAACATCGAAGTGCAAGTAAAATGTATTACAAGTGCATGTAAAATGTATTATAGGTGCAAGTAAAAATTTACACTGAGCATCAATACTTAGTTGCACTTATAGTTCTAAGTAGTTGCACCTATAGTTCTAAGTAGTTGCACACATAGGTATAAGTAGTTGCATCTAGGTGTATGAATGTTTGCGAGTGGTTTTCAGGAGTATTACTACCCGCTGAACTCAGATCAATGAATGTTAACAAGACAAAATTACATGCACTTATAGGTGAAAGTAGGTGCACATATAGTTATAAGTAGTTGCACCTATAATTATAAATAATTGCATATATAGTTATAAGCACACCCAGGTGCATGAATGGTTGCGGAAAGTGAATACTAACAAGGCAAAATTATATGCACTTATAGGTGAAAATAGGTGCACTTATAAGAGATTTTACTTGCACTTCGATGTTCAATTATTTACGAAAATGCCACGGCATTTTTTTTTAAGTTATTAGATCTGGACACGTGTCACGCGCTGATTCGTTCGCATTTCTTTCCTGGGCACTTATTCGCACCTGAGTGCGTCCCTATATATATATATATATATATATATATATATATATATATATATATATATTACAGCAGTAGAATTGATCTGAAGAAGATGGAACTGGATTTCGTTGCAACTTGTCTATCATAAGTTATATTGCAACGGTACCATCAGTGACATTTATTATTATATACTAGTTTTTTACGCGCATTGCGCCATTGGGATAATGCCCAATGTTTTTTTTTAAATAAGTACTTTAAAGTATATTAAGACATGATTATATTGAAATTGTTCATGCATAGATAATTGAAGGTTGAATTTGCGTATTTAAATAGGTAATTCTTCTCCCAAAGGTTGAGTCCCCAACTCCAAGGGCCCCCCACACTCCGACCCGAAAGAGCATTGTGGGAAGTTGTAAATCACGGTGACTCAATGGTTCAACAGACAGGGCCAAATGCTGATACGCACAAGGAATCTGCCCACTTTGGACATAATTCCCGCACTGCCGCCGCCGAGGTTCAAACCTTCGTCTCTTCTCCCAAATACTACCCACTAAACCATTGAGCTAAGCCCGTGCGGGTTAAATAGGTAATTCTAAGTTTACAAATGCAAGATAATATAGTCAAGATTGATTATAATTGTCAATAAAATAATTGTATAGGTATCGTTGAAACCAAATACGGGACATAAGGGAGAACAAATAAAAATTAGGACATAAAATATTAAATATATACAAATATTGTTTGAGGAGATTCCGACATTAGGATTTGTGGTTAAGTTCTATTAAGACTTTAATATTAGAATTAGATTAATGGTGTAGTTATAATTCTATATTACACTTTAATATTAGAATTAGACTAACGGTGAATTAACGGAAAAGTTAAATGGATAATCATATAATTAAGGATAAATTAGAAAATCTTAAAAGAAAAAATTAAAACCTAAACAATATGAACCATTCATTTGATTTAACAATTTGGCGGTCATTTTTTCTACCCAATGTTAATAATTAAATAAATTCGCTGGTCAAATCCACTAACGTTAACCGCTAACTGCTGATTGTCAAACAAGGACATTGCGAGGTAGTTCTCACTTCAATTTGTTGTGTGATTTGATCGAATACTCTCGTTGTCACAAAATCTCTCAAGTAGTTAATATGGTTGACTTTATTAATTATATTTTTTAAATTTTTTCATGGTATTAATAAAATACTTGGTAAATAAATATATAGCATTATTTTGTATTATAACTTTGATATTTAATTAGAAAAATAGTGCACAAAAAAAGATAATAGATAATGTAGTGAATATAATCAATTGATGAATTTGAATGTAAAAATTTTTACATTTGAGAAAAATAAAGACAATATAACTAATGAAAATATTTCTTTTAATTAATTTATTGATAATTAATAAAAAAAATTTCACTGAATAAAGACATTGTAAGGATAATGTAGCGAATATAATCAATTAATAAATTTGAATATAAAGAATTTTTATATTGAAGAAAAATAAAGACAATATAACTAATAAAATTATTTCTCTTATTTAATTGATTGATAATGAATAATTTTTTTTTTAATAAAGGCATTGTGGACACATAATTCTAAATTAAAGAAATGCATATGTATTATTTTTTGTTGTAACTACTAGATTATAATTTAATAAGAGTAAAATAGAGTACTAGTTATGCCAACTTTGATTGGGATGAGGTTCGAACCTAAGACCTTTTTTTATTGAAATCAATGAGTAAGTTAACGGTGAACTAACGGCAATTCTTAAAATTTTAACGGAATTAGTAACGGTGTGTGGGTATTTTAGGAAATTTTAATGTAAAATTTAAATCTGATCAATCTTTTAATTAATCTGAGCCATTCATTTGATTAAAATCTGTGACCGCCATTTTTTCTACCCATTATAGGCCTAACTCTCTTGGGCTCTTATTAGTATAGTAGATAGTAGATATACTAGTCTTTTCTATGCGCGATGCGCAAAAACATATGCCCAATATTTATATTTTTAAAAATAACTAACAAATTTTTACTAATTAAAATCTAAATGAAATAAAATGATACCCGGGTTGGACTTCCATTTGGAAGTTTATGATTTCGAGCTTCAGTGGAGGCGTTATTGGTTATTTGTGTTTCAGTAGGTTGAGAAAGTATATGAACAGATACTACAATGTAATAGAGCCAGTGGCATTCAAAAAAAAAAATCTAAATGAAATAAAATTTATTTATTATATTAATCCAATATATAATGAATATATAATGTCTTACAAATATTAATTGTTATCAATAAAAAATATAAGAAAAGATATGGTGAACGCATGTGCATGGTAAAAGTAATGGAAA